GTGGATTGCCCCACCGCCATTCCAGGCAACCCTCCGGCTCATTCGAGAGGTCACCTCTGGAGAATCACGCACAGCCTATGCCAATCTCTCGGCCCAGCCCTATCAAACGGCCATCCAGCACCCAACAGGACCAACAGAAGGGGGTGATCGCACCACACAACGAGATGTGGATGATTTGAGCGCCCATCTTGGTAGCAGTGCTCTCCTTGATGACACTGATGTTGCTCTCTCCTCGAATCTGTCGCAGTCGCTACCAGGCGCTACAGCGCCCGGCACTTTTCCAGGACCGGCGCGGGCCAGTTTCGGTGGACCATCTCTGTTTCCGGATCCCCTCAGTGGTAAGTTCTTCGGCTATAAGACCACAGTATCTTTTTGGAACTGTATAGTGTGACAGATATCCTAACAATATGATCAGCATCAAAGCACACCAATTTCGCGGTGAGTCCTGCAGTAAGCGGTGGCACATGGGGTGCACAGATCCCTTTCGGGACGTCTGCTTTTCCCAGTGCTCAGACTTGGGGAACTGGACACGGTCAGTTTGCTCTGCGAAATCCTGTGCCCTTACATGGAAGCGAATACTGACGTAAATCATAGCGAGCGGTTGGTCTAACAACGCATTTGGGTCCGGAGGCCACCACCGTGCTCACACATCCCGGCCTGTCGCCATCCGGCTGTTAGTCATCCAGGCCTGTAAACAGCTCAATACTATGAGTCCTTTCAAGGGTGCGGGCGGCTATCATGACGTGAACCTCGTTCTTCGCCAGGTTGAGCAGCTGAGGCCACCAAACGAGCCTTCGATCTCCTTGAAAGAGATGCTAGATATTTGCGATACGGAAGGCAACACGCAGAATGGTGGGGGTAGCTTCTCGATTAAAAAGGACGAGACGGGGAGTTTGTCAAGTTCGAGCCGGACAACAACAGTGCCGCTTCAGGTCACAGGGGCAGCATCGTTCCCGGGGAGATTGGCAGCCCAGTTCCAAGCAGTAGTGTGCCAGCGTTTGGCGGAATTGGTACACCATCAGTGCTGCGCCAGTATTCTTCTCCACCAATGGGTTTCTAAAGGCGTTTGTTTGGGTCCAGCATCTAACGGGGTGTAAATGGGGTTCATGTTTGTTTTGCACTTTCATCATCATCATCATTATCGGACTTCTGCGCTCCGGACGATTAACTGACTAAATGGCTCTCCTCCCTTCCTTTCCTCTCCTCTACTCGCTGATCATACGCCATTATCCCTACATTCTCATAACCACTTTCCACGTCCGTCAAGCGTCATGTCTCACGTCTTCTCCGTTCGCGTCATGGACTGTTGTCTGTTTGTCCGAGTCATCAACTTTTCTTTTATCTTCTTTTTTGTTCTGGGGCATTTTATGTTCTGTATGTCCTATTGTCCTATTGCGCATGATGCGGCGATTCCCATGGAGCACACATATCCTCCGTGCCAATTCAATTGCATGGTCGGCTTCGATCGATGAGTCATGAATTTTATTCTACCTGTAGCTGTAGTTGCCGCAGTATGTAAACGGCAAGGTAAATGTATAGTGACCTCTGATAGCGCTTGACGGCCTACCGTGACAATTCGTTCAGTCACCTAGCACGGGATGAAAAGGAAAGACTATATACCATGTTCAGAACGACGCTGTACCTATATCGATGGATCCGAACAGACCAGTCAGGGGAAAATGTTACAAGCGTCTCGGGATTCATTCACATTCAGTACAAGCTTCGGCTGATATCAAAGCTGCCAGGAAACGGCGAAACAGATACAGAGGAGAAAAAAGACAAGAATAAGCACGCTTTCACGATTCATACATGATATAATCATTTCCAGGCACGAATATCACCAAGGTGTCTGGACAAGTTCACTGTCTCGGATCCGTGACGACGCCCTCGTAGTCTCTGGAGCGGATGTACTCCAGCGTACGCTGAAAGTGGCGCTTTGGACCCTCGAGGCTGGGATTCGGCTCGTCCTCGTTGGTTTGCAGGTTGGAGTGGATGAGCTCGATGAGGCCGTTGAGGTACTTGGTGGTGACGGTTTCGTTCTGCTGGTCGAAGTAGTAAACGTAGCGGTTGAGGATCTCGACGAATAGCTCAACGGAGACGGCGGTGTCCATGCAGGCGTCTGCGACGCGCAGGGCCCGCTGCAGGCATTCAAGGACGCGTTTGCCGTCGCGGTAGAGCTGAGTGGACTACATTAGTTGCGATGAAGATGGGAGCAAGGGGATAGAGTGGACATACGTTCTTGGGGTCCTCTTCGCCTCGTTGGGGGTTCTCGACTACCCACCACAGATGACTGGCAAGGTACACGGCACGGCACTGGTCAGGTTTCTTGAGCAGTTTGCTTCCGTGCAGCGCCGCCTTGGTGATAAGGGTGTCGTAATTCTCCTTGGAGAAACCTCGAGTGCCGTGGAGCGCTCCGGCGATGATGCATACAGCCTGGAACTGTGCGCGCGAGTCACTGATGGCGTCCTCGTAAATGGTGAATGCTTGTGCAAAGAACTCGTAGCTGAATTCTTCGAATCCCGTCTGGTCGGCCACTTCGCCGCACATCACAAACAGGCGCAGTGCGAGGTCAGCGCACCCAGGGTTGGCGCGCTGATAGAGATTGTTTACACACTGGTGCATGAACCTATAAAGGGCGGAGGATTGTGACTGCCAGTTGTCGTCGTAATGTTCACGAGACTTGAGTTTACGCGCCAGTCGAATAGATGCAGTAATAATGGCCGGCGTTGTGTATCGGATACGTTCGTTGCCGTCGGCATACGCTTTGCGGGTGGCTTGAAGGAGCTATGAATAGTAAGTGGTGGAACTGATCTCAGTCTAGCCCCTGAGTAACGTACCTTTAATTGGACGTCGTTTTCCGGCGCTTGTATCAGATGTACCAACCGAGCGAGCCATCCTTGCTCTTCGATGGTCTCATCCGTTTCTCCGCCTCGTCGCTGGGAACCAGGATAGCCGACAGCCTGCTGCAAGCCTTCCTTGATCAGGACTCTCAATGCCCCTAGGACGCGGTCGAGGTTCTCTGTTGTTGTGATCAGGGTTCGGTTCTTGAGCAGACTCCGGGCGATTTCGCCAGCCACAGATCGTCGTGTGGGATAGGATTGAGAGGTCAGGAGCGGGAGATAATGGGGCAATGCCAATGCTGTGAAGATTGAGACATAAGAGCGAAGAGGAGCGAGGAGAAGATGAAGGAGGTTTTGCTGGGTCGGCGCCGCGTGCAGGTCCGCATGATCAGCGTATTCGGCTGTCTCACGCGTAGCGAAATCGAGAACCTGATCCACATACTCCAGCTTGTCAGGGTAGGTATTCAGCGCCAGGTTAACAAGGGACACTAGTAATGCCATGGTATCTTGAATTGGCAAGCCCCGGGTCTTGATCAGATTGACCACCTGGTCATAGAAAATGGCGTATAGCTTGACATCTGCTGGGACGCCAGGCTTTGCATCGCTCTCGCCGTTTGCATTCGACACTTGCTCGCCTTTGGGGGTCTCTGCTTCTGGTTCATTTGTGTCTTTCGAGGGTTCCTTCGACGGCTCGGTTGACGGCTGCTCAACGCCGTTCTCTTGAGCTGTGCCTGTGGAGGCCTCTTGGGTCGTTTCTGCCTCGGCCTTCTTAGTTTCCTCCGCGATCTTCAGATTTTCGAGGAACTTTGTGACGGCTTCTTCTTCATTCTGCTTTCGTATTTCGGGGTCGGTGGTGGATTCTGTCTCCCGGGCCGCATAGGCCGATAGACGGTCCATGAGTCCGATCACGATCTTCTTCAGGTCAACGTGCGGGTTGAGACGAGAAATTGCCGAGAGTAAAAGATCAAGCGTATGGAGATGGAATTCATCGGGGAAGACCTTTGTGATCACTAGAGCAACTTAGCATGAGCTCACTGCTCAAGAGACACACTGGTAGCAGAGATTCCCTACCTTCCAACAAGTACTCCTGCGCAAGGACATCGCGGCACTGGACAACCTGCTCCAGCAGCGCTTGCAGGATTCCCGACTTGTAGCGCTCGAGATCGACCAACTGACTAAGCCGAACGATATTGCTGCCCACCAGCAGTTCCAGCTCGCGGCGCTCCTGCATCCTCTTTTCCCTTTCCCGGGAGGGACCTTGATGCTGCAACCGCACCCACAACTTGTTCATCTCGACGAAATTGGTCAGGACGAAGTTGATCGAGTCCTGCAGGTTGCCTTCGGGCCCGTCCCCGGAGCCCGTGGGTAGATGATCCCTGGCCTGTCCGGACAGGTAGTATCGCAGGAACAGCCCACGGATGGGATGCTGCACTCCTCGACTCATCTCCATCATGTCCTTCATGATCTCCTTGACCGGGGCATCCTCCACCGACATGTACACCGTGCCGACCGTGATCATCAGGTAGAGCCGCGGGATGATGTTGCCTGCATACTGAACCAACTCATACAGATCGGCTAGATGGTTGACGGGATGGTTCTCTTTCAGGTAAACGGAGAGATGTCGCAGCGCATCGAAAACCGCCATGTACAATTCGTAGTATTGCTTGGGACCTAAGCTGGGCGTTCGTAGTTCGGAAACCAACGTCGACCTGGAAGCAATTGACGATCGCCGTTAGCTTGATCTGTACCCTTCACTTCCGCAGAAGTACGCAATGTCGCTCTAGGAACTCCGCTATAACTGGGGAGCCTCTATCGACTCACCCGCACTTGAGCGCATCCATCAGTTTCCCAGGAGTTTCCAGGCATTTCCGCATCATATGCGACTGCTGTCGGACCACTCCGAGGGCCTCCTCGAGGAGACGACTTTGGTCCTCCGGAGGGGATACTGGACTGGCCATGACGGAATTGACCGATTAGACTCGAAAGGTGTATGACGGGGCTGTCTCCGTGGATGGATGCAGGCGGTAAACACCTGGCCGAGGAAGAGGACGAGGGGGTGCGGAGGCGAAGCTTCAATGACGGTTGCGGGGATAAAGTACTTGTAGAGAGGTATAGATGTAGATGATTATTAAAAAATTCCGATCAGTTAATCAGTCCATTTAAAGAGAACAGACCATCGCAGAATGACTGGCCCTGTGGAGATGTCTGCGAAATGGAGAAGATCAAGAGGCCATCGCGGGTCGCACGAGCTTCTTTCCGCCTCAGGCTGCCAACGTGGACTGACGGTGCTAGGCAGAGCTATTCTGAGTACGTTGCCGCAATCCACCACACTAGACAGCATCAATTGAATATATTCAAAGGTTTTGATCAAACTACTTTTACCTCCACTATTCCAACTTCGAAACCTGGAAGAATGGATGATGCGAGATATTAATCGCTCGTCCCCCTTCACGTACGGACGTATTGCCCGGTGGCTCTTTCTCCAATAATCGATGGGGCTCTCGAAGATGCTTGCACTGTATAACGGGTTGGGGTTTGAATTCTCTCATATGTTGAGTAAAATCACATTCTATCTATTGACGCCATCTATGTAACATACCCGTTCTCTCAAACACCAATATGTGCAGGAACCAAATGAATACAATGGACAATCTATGAACCGAAATCATCTCAGAAAGCAGGTCATGAGCGTGCCGTATGTCTGTTTCAAATATACCATGGCACATCAAGTCGTCAATCTAAGTAATCGTTTCCGTCATTATGTCAGCCGCTGAGAAGAGTCCACGCTGTTTCTGACAGTGACTCGTACAGGGCTCTCATTCGAGATTTCCTCGAGCAGATGAGCAGGTGAGCTGCGCATCGTCTAGTATACACGGCCTGTCTGGTTGAGAGCCCGCGCCAAGAGACCGCTGCGAGCTGCGACTGTGCCGTTCAACAAAGTGCGAGCTGAGATAGGCACCCTCTCAGTTGCATTGTCGCTGCGAACATTGAAAACTTGAAGGCCGGTGCTGTTGGTGCTCGAGAGCGATCTTCGGAAGCTCTTAGGAGGCAGAGAAGACTTGCGAGTCAGGTTGGAACTCCGAGGGTAGATGGAATGGTCATCCCCAGGCGAAGGTGTCGGCCAAGCTGACAGACTTTTTGAGGATGGAGTGCATGAGCTGGACGAAGGTGTGGCCCACGAAGAGGGTGTGATGACTGGTGTAGATGTCGATGTTGGCATATTGGTAACCGTGACAGTCACGGGAGCCTGAGGGATGCTGGGAGCGGTCACAGTCTGGGTCTGGGTCTCAATAACAGAGCTGGTGTCGACGCCGTTGGGATTGGCGCCGCCAACATTAACAACTGAGTAGGGTTCTTCTTGTCTGCGCACGAGTGTGTTGCTTCCTAGTCGGGGGAAGGCTAGGGGCACTGCTTGTGCACCGAGGACGGAGATGAAGAGAATCGCCGCGGGAGAGAAATGCATCTTAAGGCAAGGTAGAAAGATCCTTCAAAATAAAACAGAATAGGATAAAATGCTGTAAAATCTGAGGCCGTTGCGAAGAAATATACTTATGTGCAAAACAGATTTCGTTGATGATACTCAGAGTCCGTTACACCTTCCAGTGACCAACAATATATATCACCAAAGCCAAACTCGATGTACACATTCATCATCATGATTTAACAGAAAAAGAATACCAAAAATCATGCAGGCTGGCAGCCATCATGGCCTGCATCGCCTTCAATCCACTCATCCGACATCCACACAAGGAGGCTGGGAAAAGGCAGCAGCGCATCGCACTGGCCCAGCCACGATGATTCTAAGCTGTCATGCCATCCTTTTCCACTTTTCACTCATCAGGAGCAATTAACTGCCGATCTTGAGCATGTTGATCCTGCCGACAGTTGCTTGGCATCATTATGATCGACTGAACAGCAGACTCGACATTAACATTAACGTTGTGGTGCAGACCAAGCATCGACGGACGGCTGTTGTGGCTGGCGGGATCCACTGCTCGTGGGTCTTCTATCTCTCATGCTATTGATAGAAGATTCGTCATGATGGACGACCAGTCAAAATGAAGTATGGAAGATAGCTATGTAGCTGTGATATCTTTAGTATCATAGGCAGCAGTCAATTTGCTTCACTGTACTGCTAGAGGGTTGGAGCTGATTGTCGCCTCGCATGTCCTCACCGCATCAATTCCGGGCTCCCAGATCAGAACCAAGAAAGAGCCAGCGCAATTGCAGATCGACAATATGATGAGCCCTAAAAAGACCCAGCTGATCAGGCGTGTCTAGCAGAGGTGTACACAACAATATAGGCGTAAGTATGACAACGTCTCTAAGAATAGTTGTTGAGAATGTGTTAAGCAGGATCATCCTCACAAGACAATGATCAGTGTACAGATTTCTAGTACATATGAGCATTGAGTATGATAATAGTTCCCCTCGACAACAGTATCCTAGTTCTCAGCACGAGCATTTCAATTGCCACATGTCAAAACCTCGTCTCCTGGAGTCGATGAGACATGATGAAAGGCTTGCGGATCAAGACCGTCTTCATGCGCTGGCACTCAAGCATTAGGTACATCCCACTCATCTGAGCGAGGAAGGTGTATCTTGGCGTTTTTGTTCGTGATCAGCATGTAGTTGGCATACTTCACGCCCGCTGGCGGTCGTTAGATGCCCTTCACAATGTTCCGGGTACTGTCTCTCCGCTCTATTCCAACGGCGAGCAAGAACGCCAAAGCAGTTCTAGCGACTGCAAGATACTAGAGGTATTAGAGACGTCATCAAGCTCAGAAGAAGCCAAATCCGGGGAACCATCTTACGAAAACACTTGTGATCGCTTCATTGTAAGCCATAATGACGTCGTCCAAATGATGAGGGAAAGCCTCGCGAGCTGTCTCTCGCACCTTTGAGGTTCCTGCTCCAAGCAGCATTTCGACCTGTTCAGCACTCAAGAGTGCGCGCCAAGGCAACGCCTTCACTAGTCTGTTTGTGAAGATGGCGCCGCCGATGCTCTACATCACTGCGGTACCAAAGTACTGAGCAAAAAGGACGTGCTTGGACTTCTCGTCCAGGATATGCTGAACTGTTAGAAGAGCCATCTGGGCTGCAAAGCCACATCCTAGGCCCTGAAGTACTTGAAATCCAATCAAACGGCCCGATGAAGTTGTGAAATCGTGAAGGTAGTATACAGCCCAGTGGCGATGCAAAGGAAAGCGGAGCCAGCGAAGAACCAAAGATTATAGTATCTCACAAACTTGGCTGGTACAATTCTGTCAGCCTTGGTGACTCACACAGCCACTGAACGAAAAAACACGGTCAGAACCAGACTTACCCGTTACGCCAGAAACAAGCGAGCCAGCAATCTGGGTGCAAACTGAAGGCAGGAGCATAATGCCGCTCTGAAGGGGTCTTGCAGCCTTGACAATCTGGAACCATGCAGGGAGATAGTAAACCGGAATGACAGAAAGGTCCCACGAAAAAGAATGCAAACAGAATGCTGAAAATAACAGATCGAGATCTTAGGAGCAAGAATGGAATCATGGCTTGATATCCCGTCCGGAGCTCCCAGAGGATGAACACAGTCATCACGATGGAGAAACCGACGAAAAGTCCAATGACTGGGGCAGAGTTCCAGGCATATCGTCCACCTCTGTATTGAAGAGCTAGCCTAGTACTATTATTAACTGCCTCTCTCTCTCACACTTTGTGAGATAGTTAATAGGTATGTACCGGATGTACCAGACATACCTGTCTGATTTATCCAGCATCTAACTAAGAATCAAAGTATTTCAGTTGAAAATCTGCTGCTGAGCATACTGCTTTGCTCCGCACGCCTTAGGCAGTTGCAAACATGCGACCAGCTACACTTGGTACATGCGAATATGGAATATGATGTCATCAGCATGGCAGCAACTTTGATCCAGTGAATCAATTAGGAGAGCGTAGGGACTTGTGACAGAGAGCAGCAACTTATAGGCTGGTGCTCTCTACCTAGACTACTCCCAGCTAGATTGCCAAATCCTCAACCCGAATCAATCCACTTCCCAACCCAGCACTGGCCCATCCCGCACACAGCTGGTTGGGATTCCACGTCAAAGCAGTAACGTGTCTCGGTTCGTCAAAGATGGTAATCATCATCGTACCGTTGACCATCCTACGATCACCCACCATGTTGCGCAAGAGACTGAAGCTCTCAGCGCGGTAGCCGTCAATGAATCGACTCGTCCCCGCGCTGTCTGCGTCTTGCCCACGCGCCCATTCGTGTGTGAACCAGGTCTGCTGCCACTGTTTCTCTTTGGGGTGCACTAATCGGCGGATGGGGCTTGTTGCGATGACTTCGCCGCCTGCGCAGCCCAGGAGGACGCTTGGGTGCCAGAAGCTGCACGGCGCAAGAGCGGAGACCGTACTTGGTAGCCTTGCCATGGCCGTTGTGGTGAAGAAGCGCCGCACGGCGAGGAGTCGCGCAAAATCGTTCTCGTCGCTTGAGATGAATGCATGGAGCAAGGGAGAGTAGGCAGCATGGGGTGACGCCATTCGCATACGGGTCGTTTCCACGGTGTCCTTCTGGTAATCGACGATCGAGGTCAAGCGGGTTTCCCCGTCCATAGATGTCGTACACAGCAGGTGAGGGTGAGTTGGGTAGGCCGACGCCAGGTTCAGGATATAAGTACGGTGGATTGGTTCGTAGAAGTATGGTAGAGAGGTTGAAGAGGTTTCTTCAGAGGCTGTAATGCTCCAGATAGCAACGAAGCCGTTGGCACAGCCAACAGCAATGTCAGTGGGAGAAAGCCAAGCCACGCATGTGCATACTGTCGACGGGGGCTTGGCCTCGAAAACTGGAGTGTGGACCTTGTCTATAGAACGTCAGCTGAGGGTCCATCAATTGTCCTCTGTTGGTCTACTTACTGAACTCTGTGGCATTTGGGTTCCGGCTCAGCTTAACATCAATAACTCGAACATAGCCGTCTCCCCAGACTCCAGCCAGGAGACCCAGGTTCCTCAAAGGATCTTCGTCATCCTCGTCCCGCGCAGCTCGGGGCATAGGACACCAAGCGATTCGTCGCAAGTCACCCCAGTCGGTACACAGAGCCAACCGCAGCCTCGGTTTAATGCTCATATCAAGGGTCTTCGTAAAGCTGTCTTCTCGTTTGGCTTTGAACGCCCACAGTTGCAATGCACAGGGGTAAGGAGCAGAAGATCTGAACGCGAGGCTGGTTTGATTCTTCAACGGGTCTGGGTAACTTTCCTTCTGCTCCTTGGTGATGGGCACCACGACGCCAAGGTACTGCGTGAGACCGGACTGATTGGGTACCCAAGCCATGCATTGAATCTTCTGTCCCAGATTGAGCAGCCAGCCTTCGCGTAGCGGTTTCTTTGATTCTGTTGAAGTCTTTGCTGTCCCACTCTTCTTCGCCCCAGGTTTCCAGGCTTCGCCGAAATTGGCGGACTCATTCTGCCCTAGCCGGAACTCTTTCTGAGCGTCCACTGGCCCTATTAATACCGTCTGCTTCTTCTCCTGCTGTGCCATATACCGTGAGCGAGCCTCCTCCTCGCCTATTTTCTCGATCCGCTGTCTCTTGCGGAACCGGCCCCCAACATCATCGGCGTAGTACCAGTCCCAACCACGAGTACTTTCCTTCCTGACCTCCTCCGGTTCAACGCCAAAGGTCGCGCCATACGTGTAGTCAGGAAACTTCTCTGCTTCATTCAATGAAGAACGCGTAGGAAACGTCGAATCAACGCCCTTGGCCCATCGGTCCCGTGTATATGCCATGGAGAGTAGATCCCTCTCGTCAGATCCAAAGGTCACCTTCATGTGGGTCAGCTTTCCTACATGCTCGCCGGGGTTCCACGTCCCCCGGAAGTGAGTCTCATCTTCAGCAATAGCGACAGTGCCGTCCTCATGCCGTCGCCTGGGATTCTTGACTCGCGAAAACCCGGCCTTTTTGGGCTTCTTTGAATCGGTTTCGTCCTCCTCGTCGGAGACGAATTCATCATCATCGCCGGGGGCGTCGACCATCTCTACGTCTTCATCTTCGCCTTCTTCGACTTCATCCTGTTCATTCTGGACATCTTTGTACTCCTCGTCTGAGGAATCATCTGCTTGGGCAGGCTGCTTTGCTTTTCGTCGAGAAGGAGTGGTTCCTTCTCTCGAGTCCGACTCATCACTGACTCCCACAATCTCAAACGGATCGCTTGTGTATCTGGTCGTCGCCCCAGATAGGCGGTTGGACCTGCGTGTACGAGGCATCTGGCGATATCCCTTAACGCCGTGGCTTCTTGATGATGATGTTGAAAGTGACCGATCTCAATGATTATATGCATAGACCATCATTTGCAAAGATCACATCCTCTGAAGCGTGGACGGACTGATCATGCGCATCAAAATCTGATCCTTCAATTGATGGCATATAGGTGAGAATGCACCAGTTGTTAGGTTGATCGGCAGGAACAGCTATTCGTGATACAAAACGACGGGAAGATCTTCGTATCGACAGCGCGAGGAGATGAGGGTCTTGGCGTAATTTTACGTCCTCAAAAGACAGCCAGTGACCTCATCGATACCCCACATCATCGAGGTCGCATCAACAAAACAAATATCTATATTTCAAGAGGACTGTGTTTGCTGTCTTAATAAATGACCGATTTAGTCGGATTGATCATTATACTGAGGTGCATTTTGAGGACTGACTTCAAATGTAGGCCCCGCTTAAGTGGAGCTGCGTCCTGATATCATCGGTTCTACAACAGATCTGCCTGTCCTACCACTAAAAAACCATTATCTACACAGTATCTCTCTAATTGATGATCGGTTTCCTCAAGGATATATCTCAATAGCTCCTTTTTTTATAAATCCAAAACAAAGGCTCAATCATGTCCAAATCACACCCGGGAACACTGCATGAATATGTAATTGCACAACATCATACCAACAGATCAACGGATCAAGCGCAAGCTGACTGAAGAAAGGCCCCAAAGCTAGTCGCTTTCGAATTCAACAGCTCTACACCCCGAAAATCGCACAGCCTCATCTTCATCGGTGGCCTGACAGACGGCCTTTGCACCGTCCCCTACGTAGCACCCCTCGCCGCCGCCCTCGAACCAACCGACTGGTCCGTGTTCCAGGCCCAGCTCTCCTCGTCCTTCGGCGGCTGGGGCATCGGCAGTCTCGATAAGGATGTCGAGGAGATCGCGAAATGCATCGACTTTGTCCGCGGCCTCAAGGCCTCGTCCACCTCGGGATCGGCATCGGCATCGGCACCAGGGAAGATCGTCATCATGGGCCATTCAACCGGAAGCCAGGATGTGTTGCACTACCTCTATACTCAGGGAGACCGTCCTGTAGTCGACGGAGCGATCCTGCAAGCACCAGTGTCCGATCGCGAAGCCATGCTCGCGGAGACGCGCAAGCCAGGCGATGTGGGTGCTGAGGCAAAGGGCTCGTGGGAGCAGCTGGTTTCGCTGGCGCGGCAGGCTCCCGTAGGTGATATCATTCTACCACTGAACCTGAGCAGCAAGGTTGGCTTGCCGCCTGACCCTGTCAGTGCGCGGCGGTTTCTGAGTCTGGCGAGTCCGGATAGTCCTGGCAAGCCGGCGGAGGATGATCTTTTTAGCTCGGATTTGACGGATCAGCGGCTGCGCGTGACGTTTGGAGCTGTCGCGACAAGGGGGTTATTGCGGTCCAAGCTGCTGGTGCTGTACTCGGGGAATGATGAGTTTGCGGCACCATGGGTGGATAAGGAGGCGCTGATGGCGCGGTGGAGGGAGGCGACTGAGGCTGGGAAGGCTGGGACGTGGGATCAGAATAGCGGGGTCATACCGGGGGCAAGTCACAATGTCAAGGATCAGGGGCAGGCTGATCTTGCTGAGCGCGTTACTCGCTATCTGAAGAGTATCTAGTTCTGCACCGTGTGAGACGATTGTGGAATGAAATTATGTCGTAGTTTTCACGTTTTATTGTACACATAGGCCGAAACAGAGCAGCAAAGTAGATATCCAAGGAACATGGCAGTGGCAGTGGCAGTATTAGAAGCGTAAGAGACAAATAAGGGTATGGCAAAGTATGTCGCGGTCCAAGCCGACCCTGAAGAGAACCCCAAGAAGCAAACAACACAAAGAGGTCAAACCTTCAGCCACAGATTCAACACACCCTTGAGATACTCGACAATCTCATGCCCACCCAACTTACTCTCCCCGTACAGCCGGTCGACAAAGGTAATCGGACACTCAGCAACCTTGAACCCCATCGCCTTTGCCCGCACCATCATCTCCATCTGGAAACTATACCCCTTGCTCTGCGTACTGTGGATGACCTTCTCCAGCACACTCTTCTTGTACAGCCGGAAGCTCCCCGTCAGATCACTCACACCAGGCATGAGCATAACATCCGCAATCAGGTTCGCCGTCCTCGACGTGAACTTCCGGAAAAGATCCCACCCATACACCCCGCCCTTGATGCCCTCGCGGCTCGCATACCGCGTGCCAGTGACGATGTCCGCATCCGTCACCTTCTGGATGCGAATCATCTCGGGGATGAACTTGGGGTGGTGGCTGAAGTCCGCGTCCATGATGATGACATAGTTGCCGCGCACGTACTGCAAGCCATGCACGTATGCGGTTCCCAGACCCAGCTTGCCGGCCCGCGGCTTGAGGTTGATGTGTTCGGGGCCCCAGAGGGCTTGCAGCTGTTTGGCGACTTCGAGGGTGCCGTCGGGTGAGCCGTCGTCGACGATCACGATTTCCCAGTCTAGGTTGCTGTAGGGCAGGCAAAGTTAGCCTTTGGCCTCGTGCGATTGACTGAGAACAGCCAGTTAAATGATTCTTACTTCTCGCGGAATGTTCGCTCCAGTAGCCAGCAGATGATAGGGAGGTTCTTGCGCTCATTGTACGTCGGCAGGATGACCGAGTACTTGTTCTTTGTGTCGGTCATTTTACTTCAAAGGTGATAGAAACGAACAATCAAATAGGAAGACAATAGTCCGAAAAATGTAGTATCAACACCGGAATTGAGCACAAAATTGCAATGAGTGAAATGGGTGTTGTCGAGTCCCCTGAGAGGCTGTAAGTTAGCCGCGAACTGGTGCGGGAGCTCCGTGTTCGTCGTTATCAAATCATACAAGTGGCCTCAGCTCGACTCGAGTCAACTAACTACCGCAACACACCCCCGACTCGTATTACATAGACAGTGATAGCCAGTTCTGGAATTACATTTAAATCACATCGTCAATGGATACGCGAATCACATTATCGTCAAGATGCAAATTCACGCAAAATCAAACTTATGGTACACACGTCATCCAGCGCACACTGCGACCTTATCACACCCTTCGATATGGGCCGTCTAACTTAACGAGCATCAACTCATATAAAGACCACAGACTAAACCACCGGTAAGATAGTGTCAAACTACTCAACCGCATTAACATCAGCATCCACCCCCAGCTCCAACCAACAATCCCCGACACAAGCAGCAACCAAACCACCCGGCCCCTCTATTTGCCAGTTTTCCAAGACACCTTCTGCACCTTCCCATCATCCTCCAGCTTGTTATACGCCCGGTCATGCCGATTCTCGACCTCGTCATTATGCCGCCTCACCTCCTCGGGCACATCCGGACGCGGGTTCCCCTCCTCGTCGACGTTGGGCGACTGCCCGTTGCTGATGGTCGGCCGGGCGTTGTTCGACGGTCTGTTCGTCGTGTGCGGATACACCTCTGCGCCGTCGTTGTTGCGGCGGGTTTCCTCGTCTGAGGGAGGTTGGTTCTGGAAACTGGGGCCATCGCCGGATGACGAGGATGAGGATGAGGATGATGATGATGGTGAAGATGAGCCCTTGCCCTTGCTAACGTCCGGGGGAGGGGTCCTGCGTCGCGGTCAGAATCGAGCTGAACCAATCGTACTGAGGCGAAGCTCAAGCAGAGAGAGCACCACCCAGCTACAAAGGCGGGAGACTCACCTGGATGTTCTATATCGCGCGTAGGCTTGCTCGTTTTAGCTTCCGCTTTGCCTTCTGGCTTCTGTTCACCACCGCCGTAGGAGCTCTGAGTGTAGAACCGCCATGGTTGAGGGAAGAGGCTCCTCTGGCGGCAGATTGGGAGAGTCGAGGATTTGAGTGCCTTCGACGAGAGGCTACTGCGGAGGATTGGATTCATAGTTGTAGTATATGGGAGAATATTACAGATAATTGTTGTAAAGTGGTCGAAACACACTGACTTAAGGTACTCGGAAAAGTATTTATACTATCAAGAAACCGATCGCCGGATCATCAACAACCGGTTATTTCATTGCTAAATCTCCCAAATGCCGATTCATATGAGGCTTGGTGGCGTGCGGTGTCCTGTTTAAACCGGGGACAATGACGTTTGAACATAGTCATCTCCGTTGCGGATCACCGGTTCACCTGAATGTGGGCAACCCCATAATATCATATCATACAAAAGATCTAGAATTACGAATTACGAACCTCAGGCTTATTCAATTGTCCCATGTGACCGTCGAAAGACAAATCGTGATGGTATTGCCATCATACTATCGCTGTAACCCAGATATCTTGACCAGTAGCTGTAACAAAAGCAATGGAGATCAAAAACAGACAGCAGAGACTAGCCCAAAGCATGAATGACAGGATGGTGCCTTTTATGCACTGTAACCCCGTATGAACGCCATGGAATAATATCCCCAGACAAGAAATGCTAGAAGAGGGAAGGGATATTCGAGCTCAAAAGTCGAGTTAGAACACTTCGGCAGAGAACATAAACCGAGAACGCGGTCAGATGAAAAGAAAGAAATCTCGTAGGAATAAAGATGCACGCCAATGTCAGAGAATAAATTGGGATCAATCGCCCCTGGCGGATTAAGTCGTGAAGATCATATATGACACAGCTACTTGCACCTTTGAGAACGCCAACGCCTCGACCGAAAGATACATTTCATGATAAGAGATTTGTATATCAACAAGTCGACCTAATCGGTCAATGATGCGCAGTAGCACACGCTTTCATATTGTGCCTTGGCTGTATAAGTTTGAGTCGCACTGCCATAGCCTTTGAGGGTCGTTGTCGGCGTCGGTTCTACTTCTTTGATCGCAATTGTCTCGGGGAAGCCGTTGCTATCGATCCGTCCTCCAACACCTGCATCTGCTGGCAGTAGGGCGCTCGGGAGCCAGGGTGGTTTCGCTTCTCCTCGATTTTGATCCGGCGGGGATAGTCATATAAGGAATCAAGAGATGTCAGGCCTCTCTTCCCATTCTGAGGCGGAGGCGTTTCGGTTGGTGCGGATGAAGTTGTCGAGCTCTGCCGAGCATGCTTGGATGTCTGATTCGTGTACAAAAAAAATTCCATCATGGTGCCATTCCACCAACAAAACCACGGTCGATCGCCTGCTTGCACTGCCTGTTTGCGGTGGAAAGATTCAGCCATCACGTCCCGCTCCGAGACGGAGCGCTTCGATGCATCATTCGAAGAGAAGGTCCCCTGGGGGACAATCACCAGCTTGTCAAACAAGGTGAAGAAAGTAAGGGCAGGGCCTAGGGCCATGTCGCCCGAATCATAGGCCGGGGTCAGTTGCTGGGTCTGGGGCAGAATCGGTGCCTGGGCACCATAGGAAAATGAAGAGCTCAGGGGTCGCTGTTCGAAAGTGATATTGTGTCGATGACCGTCCTCTCCCTGAAGTAGGATCGGGATTTTGCTGCGGCCCATGCAGCCCCATGATGCCGTGTAACCCGACTCAGCAATGCAAAATTTCGACTGGTTCTTGGGACTGGCCGGAATGACGAACTCGCCTGTCGGCACAGGCGACACATTCGCCGGCATGGATGAGATGGGCGTCGCATCCGCCCTGGGCGTAGCTGTCACTGTGACGATGTCAGGACCTTTGGCTTTCGAGCTCTCCTCGCTCGCCGCCTTTTTCGCCCCAAGAACGCCCCCAATGACACCTGCAATGCACGCTACCACGAAGATAACGATGCTGATAAGAACCAGCGTCCAGACCGGTAATCCGCAGCACACCCTCTTCTTGCCTTTGCTTTTCAACTTTTCCTCAAACGCCATAACGCCCGTAGCGGGCGGCTCCTCATGTTCCTCAGGAGGGTTTCCATTCCCATTCACCGAGTTTCCCGCATTCCCCGCCACTACTAAAGTCCTAGACGAAGTCTCTGAGACGGGGGGCTCCCGCGACGTACTATGCGCTATTTCTTCTGTGATGATGCCAGCACCAACTCCAGAATCCGACGTCTCTTCCTCCTTCGGTAGGACCCCGTCAGGGTACCGTGAATAAGGAGGAAGCTGCTCAGTATGGCCATCAGGCCCTATGAGATCTCCAACATCGTCATCAGCACGGCCAGGGGGTCGCTGATAGGCTTGCTCGTGTCCGGGAAACCCGAGCGGGATCACCGGATTATGAATGGGAGTATCCAATCCTTCCTCCGGCACAACAGCCTGCGAATACATGGCATATGGGTGTTGCGGCGCGTTTGAATCGCCCAACGGTCGCTCCATCGGTCGTACAGTCGATGTAGTAGCAATGCTGGGCGATCGGCTGACACCGACTTGCGGATACATCGCATATGGGTGACTGGGACCAGTCGCTCCGGTGTAAGGACTCATCGCGCGAGTTGGTAAGGAGAATCGCGAGGATGTACTTTGACTGCGCTGAGCCACGGAGGCATCTGTGTTGTTGGAAGCAGTCGAGTGGCGGTTAGAAAAATCCAATCCCCCTTTCTGGGGTAAACTTGATCGATGGGGAGTGTCATCGAAGGAGACCCTAGCATCGTCGCCAAACGGATCCTCGGTCACATCTGGAGGGTCAATGGGCACGGTGTTGTATGTTTTCTGATGGGGAAGGGCAGCCGAGCGAAGCGTGTGAGATGAAACGGTGGAGGAAATTGAGGGGCTGCGCGGAGTGAGGGTAGACTGTTCAGAGTCAATCGGTTCCAGCGAGTATTCATCCGAAAAGACATTGACGTTCGAGGAGCGATCGGAGGGAGAGCGATGATGCATTGTTTCGGAATCCGGTCCTTGAGACTGTCGTTGAGGGAGAGACAGCGAGGATTGCGAAAAGGAACGCGAGCGATCGGAAGAGAGACGCCCAGACATGGCGTTACACAGCCCTGTCGGGCCTCCTCTGATGTCCAGTCAGTCTGCCAGAGAGAGGGGTGGAAACAGTCACCTGAACGAGACTGTTCCGGGTTGACTGGAATCTAGGCAGATGAATCACGGAGAGGAACGGGATCAGAGCGGGCTGAAGCGAAAGGGTGGGACGTCGAGAAGGAGAAATGAATTATTTTATCCAAATAAAAAAAAGATTATGGTAATTAAGTTAAGGAATGAAGGATGGTGATGTTGATGTTGATGGTGATGTTAACGGTGGGTGGTAGTGGTGTTGAAGGGTTTCACTGGGAGGAGAAAGAGGGAGAGCGAGAGAGAGACAGTAGACTTGGCAATTGGAAGAATCCTTGGAGTACGGAGTACTGGGAGTGGTTAGGTTTCCTTAGCGCACCAGAAACAAACTAAACTAAGGGAGTTGGCTGCAAGAGGAACTCCGTCTCAACTGAAATTGTACCAAGCAGGATCTCGGGGAGGGCTTTTTGCGGTCGCAGAACAATGAGAATATCAAATGTGGGCTCTTTTTCAGGCTTACACAGAATTTGGAGTCCATGAGGTAGTTATCCTGCAGAGCATGGTATGTGGTTTGATGATACTACTCCGTCCTCTGTCATTGATTAAATTTTATTATTAGGTTGTTGATGATGACATTCATCCCCATCTTTTGTATTCTTACATGAATACAAATAATCGAAACCTGCTACGAGTAAGATACTTTGATAGATACTGCGTGGTAATTTGCGAAGACTCGCCACTTCTGACAAGTGTCTCTAGGAGAGTCAACCCAGCGTCCCAGCCCTCCTATGGCAGTCTCTAGCCTCTTCGGCTTTGGGATGCTAAGAGACTAGGTAAGATACCTACACAAAATTGTCAATCAAATGATCAATACAACCGCCGGCGACTTTCCGGTTCTACTGGTTTTACTAAGGTATTTTCAGAAGTACTGGGATGAGCACCATAGAAGGCGTTCTCCGTTCTCCTTAATTATGACGAAGCCAAGCCGTAATTAGGTTACAAGCCTGACCTTCCAAATCTGAAACAAGTTAAAATACGCCATAGAAAAGAGGATCCTATGAGGATTGAGCATCACCATTCCATCTCCTGCAATGATAATATGATGAACGAGATACATACTATTTATGGCATATGGCATCTTCCTCCGATCGATGTTTCTTCACTCTAGAGATATCTATGGACATACTTCTGACGGCTTTCAACGATGTTGAAAAGTACACACAAGGTACAGACTCATCAAGAGACTATCTTAGGTACTTTAAGGTATTTTCGCAAAAGATTGAGAGTCCAACCTGCAGCCCCCACTACTTCTTCCAAAAGCCAATCTAATTACCGTAGAAGGCAATAGAACAGAGCTAGATATCCAAGGTAGATTCCAGGAATGGACCGATGGGCGAGTCTCTAGGCCTCCGGTGGAACCAATCTAGAGACTACCTGGGACGCCAAACTCTATCTACCTACATCTCAGTGGACACCGAGGAAGTTCTGTGAAATGCGATTGTCCGTTTGATGCGTCGATAGTATTTATCGAGATTGTCCACTAAGATAACTCCGTATGGTAGTCGAAAACGTGCATAGCTGACTGAACAGCCTAACGGTTGTCATCGAATCTCTGTACAGGCGGAAAAGGCAGAGAGTCGTGAAAAATCAATCCGCACGGAGAACCATGATACTCTCCCACCAGACAAGCATTTACGATCTTCATAGGGCAAAGCACCCGGCGGTGAGTTGGTCGTCTCAGGTACCAGGCTGCATCATCAAATGGACAGAGACCTCATTGGATCAGGAAATCAAACTCTGAAGTTGGTTCAGAGGGTTTAGTACAGGAACATACATCTCCGTCCAATGGCATTGGATGCTGCCTTTTACTCCTCTGGATGAGAAGAGTTGATCCCTTTGATCCACTTCGTCGATATTTTTGTGTGCCTTCTTCAAATATGAGTGTTCGGGAATCGGAGTGCCTTTCGACAAGTCTAGACCTGAGGCCTTACAAAGTCTGGTTCGCCCATTAAGTAAATATCTAGCCGAACCGCGATACTTGTGCGTTTGCCCGGCAGACCCTGTCACTGTCAGGCACGGAGGTGCAAGGTAGTCATTGGCTGAAACAACGAAAATAGAGCCAGCCATATCTCTCATTGGCGTGGCTATTTCTATAGACACTGTGTTGCTGTATTTGATGTTGCATTGGTCGAGCATGAGGGAATGCGACGATGTAATATTCGAAGAGCACACAGCGGTTCTTCTCCCCGTTACCGACGAAGGCTGTTGTTTCAGCGATATATGAGGAAAGAGTTACTCCGGCCTCTGCGGCACGCTTGGCTTTAGCGGATACGGAGCACTTGCTTGACTGGAAGGCCGACTTTCATCGGATTGGTGACAGCTGGCGCTCTGCAGTCCTTGACCAGGATGAAGGGGAGCGGGAGCTTGCCCTTTGCCCGGTGTGCCAAAATACTAAAGCCGAGAAGGCCACTGCTGTTGCCGCTGTGAAAGCGGAGCATGAGTAGAAGCTGGAACGCAGAAGAAGCGGCGGAAAGTGCAGCAGGCGCTGCAGAAGCAGAGCAGAGACGGCAAGCTCTCTTTGGTAAGGGCCTAGCTAGCTCTAGGCAGGCTGTTCAAAGATTTCTTCGGAGCGCCAGGATATCCGACAACTTCACTTGTCCTTTTTCACCCCAACCTCCTGGCCCACTCTGAACATCCGGTCTTACGCGAAGATACCAGGCCCAAGCACGTCTATCCAGCTCCTCCTTGCTGAGAGTGCCGGCCCAGGACAGACAGACCAGGTCAATAGCTTGTAGTAAGTAACCCAAGCAGGTCTCTTTCTCGGCTTCCAATTGCTTGACGGACTTGCGTTTTGTCTTGCTGGGGCCATTGTCGGTCTCAGTAGTCTTTGTAGCCGCTTCAGTAAAGGATCTGTAGAGATATGATTTTGCAGAATTCGGCGTGAAGATGGGCAGACTTGTATCGGCTTTGGTAGCAGGGCTCGGGCGACTGCCCTGAGCACTTCGTAGGGCTTCAAGATCCACACCCCAAAGAGGGGGCGATGTGTCTGAGCCATCGGAATCTCGTTTGCCCAAGATCTCAGCAGAAGCGGCGGCAGCGTTCCCGCCATCTTGCTCTGAGCTTGTTTCTTCTGTTGGTTTGCCTTCTTGGGGATTATAATCCCACCGTTTTAAAACCTTGATCTCTCGCCCTAGGACTTTGATCACAGGATGGCCTTCACCCCAACCTTCTTGCTCAGCGGTTTTGCCGCTTTCAATTCCGAGGCTGATGGCCTTCGACCGGCTGTTGGCACTGACCACGGCTTGAGCAAGGCTGAGTCTGCTGGAGATTGGCTGCTCTGGCATCGTGTATTTCAAGACACAGACTGCAAATGCGAGCACAAGAGGTGCCCTGTTAGTCCACAAAATGATCCGCGACAGCTCATCTTCCGATGCCGATGAGATAGGCAAAGAAAGTGCCGATTCAGTCTCGTATGGTGTGGCATCAATGCGAGCTGGTCCCCTGGCCTTTTTCTGTGGCGAGTCTGAATTGCCAGTTGGCGCTTGACGCTTTTTGGAGACTCTCTTGGCAGCATTCAGCACCTGTTTAGCAACTTTGTCGTCTTTGAAGATCTCCTGAAGAGACTTGAGTTCTGCTTTTGAAAGTTGCTCCACGCTGCTCGATGTTAGATAGCTGCATCTGATGGAGAGAGAATAAATGGTTCTCGTACGATATTAGGTTGGCTTTCTGGAGATCCATGACTTTGCCCATGGCAGACGCCAATGGTAACTTGGCATCTTGTGATAAAAATCGCAACAGAGTCTGTATTTCAGCTGAGGCCATGGCTGATGCTGTTCATGAGAATAATTCTTGTTGAGATCGTATCGCACTGTATCGGATTCAAGCTGCCTCTGTTCTGCCTCAGGCTGCAAGGATCTCCGCCTCCGCTCCGATAGCCTCTCAATGATTGCAACTTGCGAGCCACTACGATACGCTACATCTGCTAACCACGAAGCTCACGACGAGTGATTTGCTGCATACGCAGCTCTTTCACGATGCCTGACGACGCGAAGTCCAAGGCTTTTCCAGATATCTCGGCCAAACTCTCCGCCCTCCCTAAGAAATCGCTCTTCGAACGTCAAAAGGCCGAAGCCGAAGCCAAGCGTGCCCGAGAGCAAGCAGAGACAGCTGCTGTTTACGAGGATTTTGTCAAGTCGTTCGAGGATGATTCTCACCCGTCCGATAGAATCACAGCAGGAGGTAGACCGAACAACACCTTTGGAGGAAGAAGCGCCGCGTTTGGAGGTGGACCTGCGAAACGCCATTTTACCAGTTCAGGTCCTAGAAGCAGCGGCCCGGGGACTCTAGGACCTCCCCCGTCGTCGCTGTCTCGCAAACGTACTCATGAAGGATTCCAACCGTTTCAGAGGAATAGAGAGTCAGCGCAGGGTATCCTAGGATTTGACAACACTGGTTCAGTATCGGCCCCCGCTGCGTCGGCTTTTCGCACTTCGGACGACGAGGAGGACAGGGCAGCCGATGCGAAAGAGGCTGAAAGAGCAGCGGCAAAACCTACGCTTTATTTGGCTTCACTACCTCCCGGAACTTCTCCTTCTGCAATCAAATCGCTCATTCCCTCGGTGTTATCTGTCGACAACGTGAAAATCCTCCGCCCCTCCAACCAGTCCCCGACAGATCGCAAGTCGATTTCCGCCATTGTCACTCTTGCGAATGAATCCGCTGCCTCGGACATAGACTCTACTGTCAGTACACTACAAAACAAATATGTAGGATGGGGATACTATCTTTCGATTGCGAGGCATCTCTCCTCTGCCGCGATCAGTTCCTCGATGCCGGTCACCGTGGGTTCGTCGTCAACAAGCTCTCTTCCCTTCGGTGCGAAGACCATCACCCCCGATTATGGAGGTCGCTTGAACCGTGCGCCGCCTCCTGGGTCTCACCGTGGTGGCTTCGCGCCCCCGACCTCCTATGGAGCAGCATATGGTCGCAGTGGACCCGTTACGCAGGTGGAGGTAAAAACACCTTCAGACCTGAAGCAGCTCAGGCTGATACACAAGACCTTGGAGAACCTATTGAATTACGGCCCAGAATTTGAGGCCCTACTCATGAGTCGACCGGAGGTTCAGAGAGATGAGAAGTGGGCATGGCTGTGGGATCCAAGAAGCCCCGGAGGAGTGTACTATCGCTGGAAACTATGGGATATCCTCACTAACAGCAATCCTAAAGGGGCTCGGCGGGGTAGGAGTCAAAATGCATCGTTATTATTTGAGGGTGGCCCAAGTTGGGTATCGCCGGACACGGGCATCAAGTTTGAATATACCACACGTATGGATGAGTTTGTTTCCGATGAGGATTACAATTCGTCCGACGAAGAGATGTCAGACGGGGAGGATGAGAGACGACACCTAGGGGGCGCTCCGCCAGCCGACGGAGTCGGTCCTGGTAACGAAGGACTCGGTTACATGAACCCGCTACAGAAAGCCAAACTCACACACCTCCTTGCTCGGCTCCCAACCACTCATGCGAAGTTAAGGAAAGGTGATGTTGCGCGTGTTACAGCTTTTGCCATTGGACATGCTGGTGCAGGGGCGGAGGAAGTGGTGGAAATGATCGTCTCGAACATCATGAACCCCTTTGCATACACTGGGGCCAATCCTGACCGCGAGGTTGAAAAGGGTCTCGCTCGGCAGGAAGCCTCCAAGAATGAATCCAATGACGCTTCGAATGAAGGAGCCTCATCATCATCCAAAAGCAACATGGATACATCTTCCGCCAAGCTGGTCGGGCTTTTCCTTGTGTCCGATATTCTTTCATCATCTGCCACGAGCGGTGTGCGCCATGCTTGGCGCTATCGACAGCTCTTTGAATCGGCATTAAAGTCCCACCGGGTCTTCGAGCACCTAGGTAGTCTCGAAAAAGACCTGAACTGGGGACGGTTACGAGCCGAGAAATGGAAGAGAAGCGTAGGTTCACTGCTGCACCTCTGGGAAGGGTGGTGCGTGTTTCCGCAGTCGAGTCAGGAACACTTCTCTCAGGTATTTGAGAAGCCGCCGCTCACAGAAGAGGAACTTCGGGAAGAAAAGGCGAAAGCGGAGGCTGAACGGGCTGCTGGTACGGCTTTCAAGGGCAAGAATCGCTGGAAGACTCTGGAGGAGGACGAAACAGCCGGGAAATTCGACCCTTCGCGTCCTCCTGCTCAACCAGATCATAACAGAATGGACATCGACCAAGGTCATGCCGCTTCTGCAGGAGGTGACCTGGCTGGAGAGCCTATGAGCGATATAGACGGAGAGCCTATGGAAGACAGCGACCTGGAAGAAGCACCGGATGGAGAGCCGCTGGAGGAGGATTCGGCCATGGAGACCGAACAGAAAGAAGAGGCGCCCAGCAAATCCGAAGCGCCATCTCAGCTCGAATCCGGGCCTCCTGCTCGAAAACCGCGACCGAAGGCAGAGGACATGTTTGCGGGTTCCGACACGGAGTGATGTACTGTTATGTAGAATTGACAATCATTGATGGGTCAAGTTCATACTATTGTCGTAGACTCGAGAAATATTGTGTCTCATTGTTAGGCAGTTTCTGTTCGTAGCCCCGGGAAGGCAGCATTTAGCGGCGCAGAGCAGGCCGCAATAGTGTGCGATGTTCAGGCAGGAACATGTCGGCGGGCGATAAAAAGACGCTCCAAGCCTCACGATTCAGTAGGGCCCACACCTCTCCCCTCTCGGACTCAAATATCAACTTGCGATCCGTCTCTTGTTAGACTCACAAAGATCCCTTTCTTATTCCTCTCTTTGCTTTCGTCCGCTCTGAAGTAGAGTATATTCATCAAAATGGCTGGTAAGTCCCAATGACATTCCTGATTCATGTCATCCCTTTGTTGATGGCTATATTTTTGCTTGATGTTTTGCTGCCCCTCCTCCTTATACCCCACCACAGTGGTTGAGGCCAGTCGCATGCACGACCACCATCTTTCACAAGGCATACATTAAGAGAAGATGTGAACTAACTTATTACAAATGCTTAGACTTCCAGAACATTGCTCGTACGTATTCCGTCGTTGGCTCCGGGTTCACAAACACGACCAGGAGATTCTGACCCCTCCCCTCTCAATCAACAGAGCAGTTCGTGCAATTCTACTACCAGACCTTCGACACCAACCGTCAGGCTTTGGCCAGTCTCTACGTATGATTACCGCATCACCGTCGCCATTTGCGAAACTGAATATCCTGCGGAAACTGACCACCTCGGACAAACTATAGCGTGACCACTCTATGCTTACCTTCGAAACCTCCTCGGTCCAGGGTGTCAGCGGCATTGTCGAGAAGCTGACGGTTCGTTTTTCCCCGCTCGCATGTTTCGGTGATACGGCAGAGGGTTAATCTTGCGACAGTCTCTTCCCTTCCAGAAGGTGCAGCACCAGATCGCGACCTTCGATGCTCAGCCTTCGAACACGGAGGGCGGCATCATGGTCATGGTCACCGGTGGTCTGCTGGTACGTTAGGCTTTTTCCGTTGATTCGTCGTTCGTTGTAGGGTGATGGTACTGATGTCGAATAGGTCGATGAGGAGCAGAAGCCCATGAGCTACTCTCAGACTTTCCAGCTTCTTCGTGAGGGTGAGAGCTACTACGTCTTCAACGACATGTTCAGACTCATCTACCCTGCGTAAAGGAATTAATGTGGAATGATAGCGGGTTGGCCAGAAGGGCACTGGGTGAGACTTCTGGTGGCGGGAAGGAAATGGTCACATCACGATAATGAAACGAGAGAAGTTAAGGCATGTCTTCTCATGGATGCCGGACAACGGCAGTCCAAATGTTGCATGCACCCGAAAGCATTTATTCTATCGTTGGTTTCGTCAAATGAATATAGTAGATGAAACTTCTACTCTTCTATGTCAAAAGACATGAAATTGGTTCGCTGATACAGTCTCTCCGTGATTTCAACAAAATGCAGTCCGAGCTGCTCAGCAGCCTCGGCAAACGTCTAGTATCTGAACTGGATATAGTCTAGGGGAAATCCAAAACAAAACAAGTCGATAGTTACCCGTCTCTGATGCGAAAGCGCGGCCGATTCTGCGCTAAATAGATCACTGACCTTGGAGAAGTGGCGTCTCCTCAGACGGCTGCTCATGGTCTCTTTCGTCTGGGCCTTCTCCGGCACCGTTCGGAGGGAGATCTTTGCCATGGCGATGGTTACGCTGCTTGTTGGGCCCGAAATATTCAAAAAAGATGGCCAGTACCAAGAGCGTGCCTTGTAAGCATGCCGTCACAATCAATACGCCCCATGTGCTCCACCCCTTTGGTCCCAGTCGTGCAGCTAAGCTGCCTGCCCACACAAGACTTCCCGGAGTTTGGATACACATCATGGGGATGCTCAGACTACCCACACACCGCAACTTCAACGTAGTGTAGATCTGAGGGAAGTACTGGATCGAAGCGAGGATGGCAGCAACTACCCCTGAGAAGTTGGACCATGCTTGAAGCTGGGTTGGCCGGTTGACTGCGATTGCGACAGAGGTCATGAACATCACCACGGCGTGGAGGATACAAATACCGCTGACGACCAAGGCTGTTCTATATGTTGGGCCATTTCTCGCCGAAGATTCTGATTCTGTAGGTGAGGTTGGGGAGGTGGCTCGGGGGAAGTAAATAACGAACAGGAGCAGGCTGTAAACCATCTTGCATTAGCCACGTGCGCGCTATCGGACAGAGAGTAGGTGAGCTTACATGGTAACAAAGCAGAGCCACTGTGTTCCGACTTGGAAGATGCCGAGTAAGCCCCCGAAGCAAGCTAGTCCAGTGATGTTCTTGCAGCATTCCACATCCTGTAAACTCTGCTGTTGTGTCGCAACATTTGCGAACGCCGAGGTACCTGAAGTGGTTCCCAGGAGAACGAAGTATGGGGAGATCCCGAAGGAGCTTTTGAGGTTGATTATGCGAATATGTTGAGGGAGATACGACAGGAGAATCCCAAATATAATCAAACTGTGTTCGTTAGTTGGAGTTCACGAGAGCCATTGCAGCATCTTCAAAATCGTACATGGACAGGACGAAGTTCTTATAGTCTGGTGAGGTGAGATGGGTGCATTCGAGATCGGGAGTGTCCATGTTTATGGAGCGAGCGCAGCAGGCTCAATGTCTTTGGATAAAGGTTATATATAGTAGATCAGACGAATGTGAAGTAAACAGGAGCTTGCCTCAGTTGGTTTCTTCGGAGAGCTGTAAGCTTGCTAATCAGTTCTATCGAGAGGGCATTTGGTGATCAGAAATACAAATGAGTTAGTAACGTCCTTCAGGATAAGGTAGCCAGCTAGAGAATTATCCCAAGCCCTTCTTGCTAAGACCAATAGCAAAAGTTCATGATAGTTGTGGTATCTGCTGCTGTAGATGAAGGGTGGTGAGTCCCTTACAGCTGCTAAACATGGATGTCGATAACAAGAGGTCTCCGCTTTTCAGGCTACGCTAACTTAATCAGTAAGGGTAGCTGGGCGGCCTAAGGTATCTAGCTTAACTGTATTACTGTTAGGTAGGGCGTTTTAGTCTAGTGCCTACCTTATCTACCTATCTACGAAGTGCATCTGCTGCATAATTTGTATTTTTGGTATTTAGATAGGTACCGGTTGTCTTCAGACCAAGCAGGTCCTGAAAAGCAAAACCAACTGAAAGAACAATAGTTAAGATATTTCTCATTGAGGCTAGAGCACAAAGGAAGCTCTGACGATGACGCCAGTACTTGAGCTCACCTCACAGAAGCATGGAAACCGGCCACCACTCAGCAGCACCTACGTCACTCGTCTATCATCTCCTCCAAATGCATCATATTGCCAACATCTGCACACTTTCTGTTTCTCTTTCAACCTCAATTCTCATACCATTTAAGTACTTGGTATCCCTCAAAGATACGTGACTTTTTGATTGTTTCCTTTCCTCCAGAAAGTACACCAGCAGTCACCTCCCTTGTAAGCGACACCCCTTCATTCATACCTCAACTAGAGCTTCAACGAGCTTCCTCTTATTAACATCGCCACCCAGGATCTGTACGGATCCGAGATTTGCGATCGTATAGGAGTGAAGAGAAGAAACTACCTCCAGGATGAGACTTAATCTAGGCTCTAGCCTAGTGTTCTTCCTCGCGACCACACAGGCGGTCGGAGCGTTCAACTGGCTCAGCAAAGCAGGTATGTTCTGGGGCAATCCATTTCCCGTTAATCTCAGTTGTCGTTCTCAGGCTCTTGTGCTAATCATGTCACTCTAGCTTACAATAAATGGCACGAAACTGAATTGGAACGATGGCTCTCCGATCATGGTTCGCATTTTTCCCATCGATACCCCAAGCATACACGCGGCTAACGATGATCCAGACATCCCTTATCCCACCCCTGCCGACCGAAAAGATCTCGAAGACTTGGTCAAGCGCAATTGGGACTCCAAGGTTCAGAAGCCTCTGGGGAATGCAGCCGAGAATGGCGCTGACCAGTGGCATCATGCCAAAGAATGGATTTTTGATACGTGAGTATCTGCACTTTTGACGTATGATTTGCAACAAACCTCCGCTAACAAATCCGTAGTTGGTCAGACTCCCATCTCAAGGCATTCCTTGATCGCCATGGCGTTCCTGTTCCTCAACCTCGCAGGCGTGACGTGCTCCTGAAGACTGCTCGTGAAAACTACGAGGCCATCGCGAGAAAAGTTGGCGAGACTGCGCACTACCCTGGTAACTGGCTTTACGAGCACTGGACTGAGTCCGATCTGAAGGAGTGGCTGGATGAGCGTGGTTGGCCTGTGCCTCAGCCAACAACCAGGGACAAGCTTATCGCGTCTGTTCGTCGCCATGCCAGACTAGCCAGTCTGCAGGCGCGCAACATTGCGGCTTCCGCCACCCAATCGGCCGAAGCTGCACAGTCCAGCCTGAGTGAGGCATTGTTCAACGCCTGGTCTGACTCCGATTTGAAGAAGTTCCTTGATGAGCACAACGTCAAGGTGCCGCAGGGCTCGAAGCGTAATGAGCTTATTGCTTTGGCCAGAAAGCACCGTGCCTCTCTTGTGAGTCAGGCCTCCGTTGCTTCCAAGACCGCTTCCGAGTCCGCGACAAGCTTGATCGGCGCTGCTACGTCCAAGGCCGGCAACCAATACACCCGTGCAACCGATCAAGCGAATTTGAAGGCCCAGGATGCGTTCGACGCGGCTGTTGAGACATGGTCAGACTCTCGTCTCAAGGCCTACTTGGACGCACGCGGAGTTCCTGTTCCTCAGTCGAGCAAGCGCGACGAGCTTCTTGCCAAGGTCAGACTGAACAAGCACAAGGCCGCGACCGGATGGACTGCCTGGACCTTTGACACCTGGAACACTGACCAGCTGAAGTAAGAAACCCCCGTTGTCCGTGTCAAATCACACTTTACCAACTTGCTCATAGGAAATACCTGTCTTCCATGAACGCCAAGGCTGCTCACCGCGCAGACGTCACCCGCGAGGAGCTCATGAAACAGGCTCAGGAAGCATACGCCAAAGCCTCCAAGACTGGAGGAGCGAATCTGGCATCTGCCACTTCCTACATGGCTCAAGCCACTGACGCAGCCAAGGACACGACCTTTGACACTTGGTCCCACTCCGAACTCAAGGCATACCTTGATTCCTATGGCATTCCCGCCTACCAAGGTTCTAGTGTCAACGAGCTCCGCGCCGCGGCCAGACGCAATGCCCAATACTTCCGGTACGGAACCACTAGCCCACAGGGAATCCTTTACTCCAAGCTTCAGGAATGGTCCCAGTGGGCCATGGACCAGCTGAAGATTGGAGCCTCGAGTGGCCGAGCTCAAGGCCAGGAGGCCGCTGAGAAGGCGAGGGCGAAGGCTTCAGAGGGCGCTGAGAAGATCCGCTCGGAGCTCTAGATTTCTTAACGAATGATGATTGTAATTTACTTTCATTTGAGAGGTTTGCAGGACGGGGTTGGACTGGAGGCTTTTCTTAGGTTAGTCTTGTTTTTATGGAAGTTACGATGATTCTGAAATAATTTTTTGGGCAATCTTTCGCAATGTCACAATTGCCATGCAATGTTTAGTCTAATAACAAGGAAAAGTTATTGAAAGACTGTAGTCCAAGCCTCTGGTCCATGAATCATTTGCTTTTGACGGTGGCATCTGCCAGCTGAAGGGAGAAAGTGATTCAACCCAGACATACTTCGTATACCATTTGTAGACATTATCATGAGATACAAACGCTTCTTTTACTTGTTGTCCGCTTGGTGTGGTCAGCCCCACGCGGTAGCTCCCCAGACAGAGGATAAATGTGCAGCCGACACGGCCCTCGTCAAGATGCTACGATAGTGATAGACACCGTTCACGACTTTGGCGCCTCTGGATCACCCTCTGCAACCAACTTACCCACAACGAGGTACTTCTCGAGGAACCGCTCCTCCCAGGACTGGAGGTTCTCCAACTGCTCCTCGTTGAGATCTTTGAGGTCATCCAGAGGACCCTTCAGATCCTTAGTGAGCATCTCGACATCGAAGCTCTGGTGCGCCAAACCACGCGATGCGTCGCGACCGGCAAAGTTCTCGTATGGTCCGCCCTGGAGTAGACATCGGGTGTCAGTTGACTCTTCCTGCGATATCAAGGTCTAAGGCGCAGGCATACAGGGCCGTAGAAGTTCTTGCCCGGGGTCACGTCGAAGACTCGTCCACGGACGGCAAGGTAGACGGGTTTATCGCCTTCGCCATTGTACTCGAGGAGGGTTGTTGGTGTGAAGGTGCGGAACACGACGGGTGGGGAGCTTGCGGGAGGGCGACTGGCGCCTTGGGGCGGAGTTGCATGTAGACTAGGATTGCAAAGAGAGATAGGAGGATGAGGTTGATGGGGGTCGCGATTGACATTCTTGACCGATGGAGACGTCAGACATGTTCGTTTTCACGCTTGAGAGGTGCTGAGATAGGAACGTACACTTCTGCGGATGCGGGAACCGCACCGTCTCCTGGGAAGGGTAGGTAAGCATTTGCTTCTATCCCAGATTTCGACCGGGGGAATACCTGTTGAAGCCATTTTAAAGAGTATAAAGCGACTAGTTGGGTTCTGGTTGACTCCAAGATGGCTCTAGTCGACGTAGGGACGGGATGATGAAGATGATGGTATGGAGTCCAGAAGTCGAGAGTAAGCTGTCATAACGGATGTCAACTTCGGCTTCCGACCGTGGAATTTGCGGAGATTACCTAGTGCGGTAAGGTATCGGCCTACCACCCGGCTGTGGCGGCCTGACTTTTGAGGAAGCAATGTCCTAACTTTGATATTTTGATAGACTTTTAAGTTCATTATTGAATTAAAGATGCTAGTTATTTTTAACTTCAATAGTTGGATGTATTTCTATCGCAGCTTGGACTTGAAAAATAAGGGTCTCAGCCGAGTTACTCCTGAGTTAATTCTGTCCTATCGTGCTCCTCCAGATTTTACTCCCTTAGGCTTAAAGCCATAGATTGTCCTAATAATAACCACATCGAAATTAACTACGGAATATTGTTGTCTCAGGCTCACAGCCAAGCTAGACTAAACTACAACGGAAACCTGAAACAGTGTCATCTTACTTTAGTGCCGATAGAGAAGCATGTGCTCAGTGCTGTCATGCTCACTCTGCCGCCAACTGTTTTCTTTCCATCTTCTTGTTGTTTCGATTGATTCATTCATTGCTTGCTTTCATCATCTGCGGAGGGGTTCTGTTGGCAGTGCTCAGCAGACCATCATTGTCAGGTTTCTCTCTTTCTTTCTATCTTTCTATCCTTTCCTTTTATTGGTTTGACTGATCACGCCCTCAGTCTTTCTTTCGGGCTCTCCCATATTGTGTCACTCCTTGCTTTCGTCCTTTGCATTTCCTTGGATACACTCCATTCCCTGCCAGCTTGATTGGAGTTGCTCGAGCCTTCTCCAGCTGCATTGACTCCTTTTTCGTTCGGTGACATGCGGGCATGTCAATGTACGGTCAAACCAGGCTAATTACCTTCCCTCAGCTGGTTGCCTTCATTCCTTGTTCTCTCGCTTTGTAGATAAGTGGTATGTCATAGTGAATAACCCTGCTCTCTCATTTTTCTCTGATTCACCTAAGCGAATCACCCGAATCATACCTACTTCGGGGAGAACACTGATCATCAGTCTATCAATCAGAATACTGCAAACTTCGGTCAAAATGTGGGGAAAGGTGTCATTTCATCGCTCGCGGAAACCGGTAATTGTGAACCCAGAGCTAGTCAAGGAATCTTCAGTTGATAACGTGTACCAGTCTTCGGGTTCCGGTGCTCGAACGGGCGAGAAACTGCCCAAAGGCCTACCATTCGTACCACAGTAAGTGTAAATTGCAAATGGCTGTCAGGCTGGTGGAGCGTCTGCTGACAATCGCAGGTATTCCTCAGACTCGACCTTTTCTGCGAATAGACCCGACTCAGGTCGTCGTGTTACTTCGTCCATTTATTCTCGGGACACGTTCGACCACAGTCGCCAGCGCTCAGTCACCTGGGACCATCAGAACGATGGCAGGTTTTATCAAGACCCAGAATCTGCCTCAGAAAACCTGAGTGTAGAGATTTCACCTCCGGACTCGCCTATGTCTATTAGTCGCACATATCACAGTCGAGGTAACTCACGTGTCTCTTCTCTCGAGTTTGAGTCAAATCAGACGTCCAACGGAGAACACAACATCACGAAGTTCGCAAGCCATTTGCCAATCCCACGTAAGCGGGCGGGCTCTGCACAACCTGACAACAGACCGTCGACGCAAGGTCTCTCAAGTCAGAATTGCACAACGCGATGGGATGGTTTTTCCGGTGCACCAACCACAAGCCACTCAGATAAATTCGCACCCAACCTTTCCGCAGATATCTCCTTTGGATCACAGCACACGGGATCAAGCAACGCTTCTAGATGGATCAAGGGCCATGGTCATTCAAAAGAACAGAACACAGAGGGCCGGCAACGGTCACCGTCAAAAAATGATAATCCTTTTTCTCTAGCAGTGCGTGAACCTTGGAAGGGTCCGAGTGGGCGATCTGCGATGATAAATCCGATCCAGGAGAAGCCAAGGGAGAGATCGTCATCACGTGTCCATCAATCAAAGAATAACGATCACAACGATCGTTCAAAGGAAAGCGACCGTGCATCTCCAGACTATTCACACCTCGGTTTCGTCCCGTCGGTAGTCACAACTATTACTGGAGGCGCAGATAATACCCTGGGGCCGGACAAACGCCAGCCTAGCAAAAGTCGCCAGCAACCATCAATTGTGAAGGAACCGATAACATCCATCAGTGCGACTAGCGATGTTCCACCCCGTATCGAAATACCAGGGTCCACTCTGGAAGCCACCCTCGCTGAGTTGAAGCTGTCCACCGGAGACCAGGCTCATGCACCCGTCAGTCGCTTCAGTGCAACCACCTGCGCCACAACGGAGAGCGATAGCCCTACACCTAGTCGTCGTGAGAGCGTCGATGCGGCTTCCCAGTCTACAGAGAACGCACCCTCAATCATGTCCCGCAAAAGACCCATCCCCAGTTCCATGGCTCCGGGGAAGAAGCCAACCAGGAAGCCAACCCCGTCCCAGGCTGACAATGGCAAGGACCTCCCCCCATGTCCACCAGAACAACAAGCTCAAAACCGCATTGAGATGCTGGAGGCAAGGAGGGACAACCTCGCAAGGCGTAGGGCAAACATTAACACAATTATTCACGAACTGACCCAGGTCATCCAGCCTAGCTCCATTGCTTACGACTTGGCTGCCCGGGATGAGGTCAAGAAGACTGTCGCCAGTCTCAACAACGAATTAGCCGATATCAAGAGAGAGGAGCATGAGATTGGGATGAAACTATTCAGACTTTGGAAGAAACGCGACGAGCAAGACTTGTATGGTGGAGACAGCGGTCTATGGGTAAAGCGGGTGACCAGCTGAAAGCGTTTTTCTCAGTCAATTCCGGGTTCGAATTTCTGCTTGCGACTGTTATGATTCGACTTTCGTTGGTAAAGTGTCGCCTTGTCTGATTTATCTTCCTTTTGATTTCCAGTACACCGCCTCTGAATGTGTGTTGGTTGAGCCATACCCCTTTCCGTTCTGCGAATACCCTTTTTATTGGCGCGACTCAAGTCGGGAGATTCGCTCTTCGCGTTAGCGTTACACTGCTGGCAGATCATTCGGATTTATCCTGCAATTATACAGAGGGGTGCCAGTGATACCCATTTAGTAGTAATAAGAATTTCTGATCTCGAAGTTCAGGTGTCGTATTCTGCCTGCGCGCTATGGATCGGCATACATTGTGCTGATTAAAGCCAATGATGCGCGCTTCTTTCACTATTATGGACATGCGTTGATTTGAAATGATTATCTCTCAAGAAGTGAATATGCTCGGGTAATAAAAGTTGCATATCAATGCCAACATGGATGCGCGCCACAGGTGCGGTCGTAGATCATCATGGCTCGTTGTATATCATAACGATGATTCGCAGATCATTTGAAAGACAGTTTATTTCTTTCCAGATTTCTTGATACCCTGCTGGCCAGTGTTCAGCGGGCCTTTGCCTTTCGCCTTCTCCAACAATTCCTTCTTCGCCTTGGCCTCTATTGTCCATCAACAGCAGTTAGCAAAATGCGCCGGGCCAGTTTGCATCAGTGAACAAAAGAGGACAACATACCGGCTCTCTGTCTCTCCTTGAAGGCCAGATCATCCTCATCGAGGTCCTTCTTCTCCTTCTTGGCGGTCTTCAAGGGTTTGGCCTTGCCGCCTAGGAAGCAGATGAGTTAGCTGACTGTATCGCATTATCCACAGAAGGGAGACGGTATACCTTCTCTGCTTGCACCACCCATTGCGTAGAAAGTCTCGAAAGGAGATACAGATGAAAGTAGTCGCTCGAACGAGATGAAAGACGGAGATGGCTGCGACGTGGGGAAATAGGCAGATAAAAAAAAATATCAGAAAAAAGAGAGGAAAAAGATGCTTATCAGCGGGCGGGTGGCACTAGCGCCCGAGCAAGACAGCCATGGGGAAAACCAGTCAGTCACCGCCTGCCGCCAGGGAACAACTGAGACTTCTCCGTCATGTCCTGTCTCATTCTCTCTTGTTCATCTCTTCAGTTCTTTTCTCATCCTTAAAGGCCATTAAACTTCTCATTCTTTTCAGCTTGAATCTTACAACTCTGAGTGCTCTTGAGGCGAGATTTGTTAAAAGGCACATGCTTCGTGCGAAACGGTAGTCAAGTTGGCAAAGGCCGTGGCATCACTAGCCGGTTGGACTTTCTCAATACACTCTCTCCATTAACTGATTGTCTGGAGCGACTTTGCTAACCGGAGTTCTGTTCGTCTCTTCTGTCTGAAGCTGCGCGTGGAAGCCACGATCAAATTCTCAGGCCCTTTAAAGTTTGGAAATCCCTTGCGCGCTCCATTCTAGCAATGGCGTCACGTAGGTCGAGGTCTCCATCGACCCCTTCTGAGGGTGAGATCATCGAATCAGGTTCAGAGACGAAGGCAACTACGTCGCAACTTCCTCTTAATGGCACCAGCGTTGACCGTCAAACCAGAGTCAGTACATCGTCCGCCCTCAGGTCTCCAGCATCTGTAAGCAGATCGCCACGCCAACGGAGGTCCAGGACGAGGACTTGGTCGCGTTCGCGATCGCGATCCCGCTCTCGCTCGCCCTATCGAGACTACCGAGGGCAGAAACGTCGACGCGAGGATGACTATCACGAGAGGCGTTATCGAAACGAACCATCTCGACGCGGAGGTCCCAGGCATCACGATGACAGACATTTTAATCGAGGCCCTACTTCCCATGTACGCTCTAGACCTTACCACGATTATGACCGAGACGATTATTACGGTGGTGGTCTCCGGTACACGGACGACTCTGATCGACGTGGGGATAAGCGACCCCGGACGCGAAGCCGATCACCCTACCGGGAAATACGAAAACCCAAACAGTACTCGGGCGACGAATGGGATTCTCATAGAGAGGGCAGCGTGACATCCCAGGATACTGGAAGACGAAGGTCATCTACTGAACAGTTAGTGAGCGAGCGAGGGAAACCTCCGGTCGTCGCTCAAGATTCTAGACAAGATGCTGAAGTTCGAAAGAATCAGGTGCAGCAGGTTGCTTCTCATCGTTCCCCACGCATTGAAGACAGGTATAGCTGCCCTGTACTTTTTCTGAGATTCATTCATTGCTGACTTAGGACTCAGTGCAACTACGGCCGCAGTACCAGAAAGTCAAGACACTGCAGAAGAACATGCTGAAACGCTCGATGAGGCGGCTCGGTTAGAAGCTCGCCGCAAACGACGCGAAGCTATTAAGGCAAAGTATAGAGGTCAAGCAACGCCTCTGCGTCTGCAGGCACATATAGGTGCTGATACTGATTCATCTACGCCGACTCCGAGCTTGGATGCGATGCGATCTAGTAATGCTGCTTCAGGTGGGCTTTTCTCCGCCTACTCTCATGGAATAGTTTGAAGGTTGTCGAACTAATTCTGGTTTATCAATAGTCTCTCCACAACGGTCGGCTTCCGAAGCACCCAACGATAGCGCCGGTGATTCTTTCCCAGAGTTTGGAAATGATGCTGATATAGCTAATCACGATGCACCTACGGACGGTGCAGATAAAGATGAGCCATCTGCGGCGGATTACGATCCGACCATTGACATGAAGGCAGAAAGACAGAAGCTTGACGCAGGAGACTCCAATGGAGACGTGTCTTCGGCTCGCTACGACGAAACGCAGACCGCCAAGCAGGATGTTCTGATGCCAGATGCCCCCCAAGCCCAACCACCCGAAGTCAGAGCGAAAGATCCTTATGATATGTTCGCGGAGGACGACGATGACATGTTCGCGGAAGATAAGGAGGAAACTACGCAACCTACACATGCCTCGGCTGTGCCCGTGCCTCAGCCGCAAGAGCTCGACATCAGCATGATGGATAACTGGGACGATCCAGAAGGGTACTATAATGTCCGGCTGGGTGAGTTGATCAACGGACGATATCATGTACAGCAGAATTTGGGCAAGGGAATGTTTTCATCCGTGGTTCGCGCAACAGACGGCCAAACCGGCGGCCTTGTAGCGATCAAGATCATCCGACAGAACGACACCATGAGAAAAGCAGGATTGAAGGAAATTGGCATCTTGGAGCAGCTTCGCGAGGCCGACCGTGAGGATAAGAAGCATATAATCCGCTTTGAACGACATTTCGACCACAAGGGCCATCTGTGCATGGTGTTTGAGAATCTCAGCATGAACCTACGAGAGGTTTTGAAGAAATTCGGACGGGATGTGGGCTTGAACCTACGCGCCATCCGAGCGTATGCACAGCAGATCTTTCTTGGACTCAGTCTGCTTCGAAAGTGCAATATCCTTCATGCTGACTTGAAGCCCGACAACCTGCTCGTGAATGAGCAGCGTAACGTGCTCAAAGTGTGTGACCTGGGATCGGCTTCACCGGCCACGGAGAACGAGATCACGCCGTATCTGGTCAGTCGATTCTATCGGGCCCCGGAAATCATCCTTGGGATCCCGTACGACCATGCAATTGATGTTTGGTCGATCGGGTGTACGCTCTTTGAACTGTACACAGGCAAGATCTTGTTCACCGGGCGAAATAACAACCAGATGTTACGCTCGATCATGGAATGTCGTGGCAAATACCCTCCCAAACTTCTCCGGAAAGGGACGCTGACCCACCAGCACTTTGATGATATGCTCAACTTCCACAGCACGGAAGAGGATAAGATTACAGGACGCCTGGTTACGAAAGTCCTCGACTTCAAGAAACCCACGCGTGACCTCAGGACCAGGTTGATGGGCAAAAACGCGAAAGGAATGACGGACGGTGAGGCAAAAGAACTGGCACTGTTTGTGGATCTGTTGGAACGCTGCCTGAGTCTCAACCCGGAGAAGCGGTGCACACCGGCTGAAGCGTTGAGGCATCCGTTCATTGCGCGGCCCAAGGCATAGGCAGCTGTGTTGGGGGTGTCACAACTGCGGCATAATATTACGTGATTGTATATACTACTTGGTATTTCTGGCAGAATTTGGCGTCCGTAGGTTTTATCCAAGCATGCACATTGAATGGAATATCCCGATCATCCCGATCATCCTGATCATCAAATGAGAGTAGTATGATCGAACGATGAATCTACGCAGTAGGTTCGCTAGCCGTTAAGACTTACGAGGCGGGAATACCTGGGAGACATAGGGCCGAGAGCTCAAACCCTAGACGACGATCAGGCAGCACCATGGCCTTTGCCTTTGCCCATTGCCACTGATTGCCAATACATTTGGCCACCAACCTCGAGAAAAATATGTAGATCATGAGGATAGGATAGACTGGCAAACCACGGAGCATACCTACCTGCCGGCTGCCCAGGATGCACGAAGGCGAAGGGCAAGATGAATTCCATCCGATTTGGTGAGGCATCGGAAGGAATGATGATGACATTGAAAGTTTCCATTGATGTTGGGGGCGGTGGCGAACAACGGGCGCACAGCATCAGACACCAAGACGATCGAAGGATCGGACCACGCGGCACATTGTCTATCTCGATCTCCATCCCTATTGTACTGTCTATGTGGTTAGTTGATGAAGGGGGTCATTTCCAGAAAAGGTAACAGGAAATGACGTCTCGGCCGTTTACAGTGGAGGCAAAGAAGGGATATACTTAGCAAGCGGCACAGTATCTATACACTGCGGAGAATTAATATATATTAGTACATGTGGGTGCGTGGTTGCGGGGTCGATGACGCTGTAGTCTCCAGTGGATGATGAACTATGAAGATGAGCAGATAGACAGAACGAGGACTGGTGATATTCTATGTAGCCCTTGCTGCTGGTTTGAGTGTTGTCTTAGGGAATTTTCTGAGGAATAGAATACTCGGCATGTACTTAGGTCTGTGTCTAGATCTACAGGGCAGACACTGTACAGGGTACCTATGAGACAAGTATGCATGTAAAGAGTAGAGTGTGATGCATGATCGTCTGGGGTACATTGTTGCTCTGTACTGAGAGGATGGTGGACTGGAATAGCTGATCTTGATTATGAATGACTGTCTCGCTGTATAGACTACCTCCGCTATTAATGGCAGTAACGGTAGAGATCCTTGCCCTTCAGATCAAACAGGAGAGAATGCTCCAGCAGATGTAACTGATAGTATGCTGAATACCCTGACAGCCAATGGAATCCAGGGAAACCGGTTCCTACGTAGAGTCGCAAAAGTGGTAAGCCGTTGCGCCAGATGCTGCTTGACCTGTCACACCGACACGCCTACGCCACACAAAGGATGGTTGCTCCGATGACCCCTTCCTTTTGGGGGCGCTGAATGTCCACTGGTTCCAATGAGGGGGTGGAAGATTGTGCACCAGCTGGTTTAATACTCCGTAGCCCGTACTCCATACTCTAAAGCAGCTTGATCCTTCCCATATTCCGTGCAGACTGCCAGACACGGAATGGACGCCTTGCTTTGACAAGTTATGCGACCAGGTGGACTCTAGCATAGCACAGCCCAATGTGCTCCACTCCTCCGATCTGGGCGTCTCCACCAGCAAACTCTCAGACAGCAAACGTGGCAACAAAAGAGCCAATCATCGACTCTGCTGGCTGTCATTCGCTGGGGTTGGGCGTTCTCGAAGCGGACGAACTGGGCTAATCATTGGTCAAGGCGGCCCTCCATGATTGCCTCACTTTACCATTTCCTACCGTATCTACCTGCAGTAACTGGTGCTCTGTGCCACTTGAACCAGATCCATCTCAACCAGGAGGAACAAGGTCTCAGCATGCTGGGGGTCTTAGACTTTCTTTGTCGTTGATCGGGGCGGAAAAAGACGGTGTGTGCGGTGTGGTGGAAGGTTGATGGATACCTAGCCTAGTCCATAAGGTAGGTGGTCTTGTACATCATCATTCCACTACCTACTCCGTACTGTGTCTGTCCTTCAATGACTTCAGAATTGGCCACCACGAGATTCAACCAGATAATGGTGTGATTGTCCTATTATTGTGAGCGCATATCATACCCGAGTATGGAGGATCCCTGTCGGGGAGTGATGATGATGGGCGGCCCCAGTGGCTGGATCTGACTTGTTTTGTGTTTGGGAGTATTGATTTGGTATCTCCTCGTTCTCTCTCCGCTAGTTCCGTCTTGATTGACTGGCAACTCGTAAGTGACTCTTAAGTGACTCTAGACCTGCTCAACAGAGTCCAGTCTTCAATCTCGACCGTGACTGTGGGGAATTGAGCTGGCAAACACCGCAAGTTCGTACATTGTAGTACTCGAGTAGTACATCCAAGCTGATGTATACGCACAAAAAGAGTATCTCATACCCATCTAGGCTGCAGCAGGATCATCAAATAAGGCTATCTTCATCATTATGAATGAACAGAGTGGGTCTGCCCCATTCTCAACTTATGAATATTCTCCTATTCGAAACTCCAGACTCCCAGGGCAATGAGATTACCATTGATCCCTGAGGCTTAATCCTTGAGACTATCGCCAAGGCTCTGTTCTCAGCGCCTAAGGAATACTCCTGCGTATGACTTGCAAAAAGGGACAAGGCAACAGGGCGGTCCATTAATACCATCGCCATCCTGCCGGAAGATACTCCAATCATAACACCCAGCGCGGATGCATCATCCATGGGGTTCCGCATTCAACCAATGACGAGACTGCGCCACTGCAGGTATGGCGTGGGACTATCTGCATAGCTTAGGTGTACCTGTCACACCGTTCACCGCCTCCATCAGGATTTCCCAGACCAAACAGCAAGTAATCAAAGGATCTGCGGATCGAGTCCTTCCTGTGGTTCTGGAGTTTGTACAGCCACGGCAACCGGTGTTGTTGCCATCACTCGGATCCAGACGGAGGCTAGCCTCTCTGATCTCAGCCTACCATGGGAGAACTGTCGGACTTGATAGGTGCAGGCACCTCGCAACCTAGGTACCTAGCTACCATCCTAATAAGAGGTAACCGATATTTGGCAGAGAGGATCAGTTATGACCTTGTGACGCCTGAGGACATCACCGTTTGGAGCTGATCTCTGGATCTCTCCACGCACTTGCGGACATTTGAGACACAAATATTTGCCTCCCTAGCAATGTTTCGTAGCACTTGTGCTTCAGAACCGAAATCTTGAAACTTGGAAATACTACTAGTCAATGCACCTACGTAGTTAGCTGTTGGGACTGACTTAGAGTTGAACTAGGATAAGCGGCGACAGTCCCTTTCCGGCTGGACGATTCCATGAACCAGATTTGGATTCTGTTGGTGCTGAAGGAGAGACGCAGACTGGTTGGTTCCAGTGCCGGACTCAGTTTGATAGTTACCTGTTTAGACTAGCTACCTACCGACTCCGTACTCAGCACCAAGATTAGTAGACAGTTGATTGCTCCCTGATTGCTCCCACCCCCTTCCTTGTCTTCTTGAAGCTGGACCCTAAACCGCCTAGTGTAGGCATCATACATATTTAGTCTGGTGGGGGCAAAGCCCCACAGCTCCAGTCACCCCATCCAATCCGCGCTCGTTGTTGCCCTGCGCTTAATGTAACTGCCCCATTACGTTGGTTGGTTTATTTTGCCTTTTCTTCTTGTCGTATTTGCTCTAGCTAACACGTCGCCTGCGATTATCTAGGATTATTATTAGTCGTTATCTAAACTTAGCGGCGGTGGTTGGTTACGGTCCACGGGTGGGCTTTGGCTGTTGAATCGAAGATTCCATTACTCTTAGGGGGAAGGATGGGTGGCCACTTTTAATCTGTGACTAACTAACCAACTATTGACCCCCATAACATTTGTCCAGGCCACGAGGCCCTGTAGCTTGTAGCCTGAGCCTGAGCCCTAGCCTGAGCCTTGTCCAAATAAGTAGTGTTATTTCCACACGTTTAGCGCTACCTACTCTATGCTAGTGCATTATTATTGATCATTATTATTACCTTTTTCTTTTCTCATTATTATTATTATTATTATTATTTCGCCTCTCCGCCGTCCCCTATCGCCCTTCTCTGATCATCATAAATCATATCCCCTCTTCCCCTTATACTTACTCCGTACTTCCCTTCATCATCATCGTCTACATTTTCGTCGTCTGGTTTGCGTGGGCTCTTTCTGCTGTGTTCCTTTTCCTTCTGTCTTTTCGTTATATTATTTTGGATATATCTTCTCTTCTTCAAGACGGCTTTCTTAAAACAATCGACCATTGATATAATCTTCCAACATCTCTTCCACAACCCCCAAATCTCCGTCTGGGTTCAGGACGCCGCATCTCCATCAGGCAGTGCAACACCAACAATCATACAACCAACACCTGTTACTACCGCTACAACAAGGCACCAACAACATCTTCCTCTACAGGCCACTCCCCAGGATTTTGGACTAGACTTGGAACCATCCTACTTCTTCCAATGGATACTTGAGTCGAAAATAAATATCCCTTGTGCCTTGAACGACTCTCCCTTTTGGATATCACCGCTACCACCAGGCCGTTTGGATTTGGATCTTGCCATTAAGGACTCTCCCATCAGTCGGACTATCCACTACAACTCAATTCTTACGTTGCTGGAAGGCTGCATATCCCTGTGCATCCTTTCCAGTCTCTCCCCTCTATATCACATCTGCCCTTAATGCTCTCCCCAAATCCCTTCGGCATGTATCCCGCCATGCTTCCAACTCCTCCGCCTTCTCCTCCCACCACCCGTGTTTATGCTCCGGAAGACCGCCTGGGATATCTTCTAGCCAACCGGCTGGAACTGACAAGCATTCTTGGAGTTGGTGCGTACGGCGTGGTCTACACCGCCATCGACATCCACACCAATGTGGTGTATGCCGTCAAAGCACTGAACAAGGTCGGACTTGATGCCCGGCAGCTCAAGTTCCAGCAGCGCGAAATCAAGCTCCACCATTTGGCTAGCCAACATCCCAATGTGGTTTCCCTGGTTCGTATAATGGATTCCGTCGACTGTACCTATGTGGTCATCGAATTCTGCCCCGAGGGTGATCTGTTCTCTAGCATCACCGAAAAGGGCAACTTTGTGGGCAACGATCCCTTGGTCAAACGCGTCTTCCTCCAGATCCTGGATGCCGTCCAGTATTGCCACTCCTTAGGAATTTACCACCGGGACCTCAAGCCGGAGAACATCCTGGTGACCGATCAGGGCCTGACGGTCAAACTGGCCGACTTTGGCCTTGCTACCACGGATTATTTCACTTCGGACTTCGGTTGCGGTTCCACATTCTACATGTCTCCAGGTAATTTACTTGCCCTCGTCTTACTGCGTTCATTCGGCTGACTTAATATCTGAAGAATGCCAGCAACCGAATCCCCGACCATTGTCTTGCTATGCATCGGCCCCCAATGATGTGTGGAGCCTGGGGGTGATTCTGGTTAACCTCACTTGCGGGCGCAATCCATGGAAACGTGCCTCGATCGAGGACTCGACATTTCGGGCCTATCTCAAGGATCCTTACTTCCTCAAGTCCATTCTGCCCTTGTCAGATGACCTGGTTTGCATCTTGAGCCGCATTTTCGAGTGCGACCCCTCTAAGAGAATTACCATCCCGGAGCTTCGCCAGTTGATCCTGGATTGCCCTCAATTCACTCTCAACCCTGTGACCCCCTGGGTTGCTCCTCATGGACCCTTGCCTTACGACGTCATCAGTGGGCCACAGGTCCCTGTGTCTGTCCCTGTGCATACTTTCAACACGCAGCCATCGACGTCCTCTTCAGACTCGTCTCACTACTCGAATTACTCCGAGTCTGCCGCATCCGATAGCTCTTGCTACACGGAAGTTTTTACCGATATGGACAGCGTTCCATCGATGTCTTCCGTGGAGTATGAGCCGGAGACGGATTGTCAGGGCGACCTTTCTATGGACTCCCTGCCATGCAAGGACATCTCGGAGGCCATTGTTATCCACCAGCCGAACCCTCAGGCACTATGCGTCTACTAGGGTACCACGGCGGAAGGAAGTGAACAAAACCAAATTAATGCAAACTTAACGATTTACGCCATCTATTCAACATCAGGAACTGGATTCCCACAACATTTATACGGCCCCAGTTTTTATTCAGCTTCTTTTTCCATCATTCCCGTTTCTCTGGACATACTCCTTAATCTTGGATCTTTTTTTTCCCTGGACTCCTGGGTGACCTCTGCCTGGATTATCTGGTTAACCGCCAGTCAGCATAGGACCCGTTGAGTTCCGGGATCTCTTCTCTGCACACTGTTTTATCTTATTAATATGTTACTATTTACGTGTGGATCTTTGGGTTATTTGATATCTGGTCGGATTCTTGTGTTTGACGTGACTGGTTTGGTGTTGTGGTGTTGGGCTTGAAGAGCATTTTTCTGAAAGAAAAGAAATACCCCGGGTCAGAGAAGCATTGCCTGTACTGATTTTTACCTTGTTCATTTTTGCCGTGGAGTCTAATATGGACGACGGCAGTGGCATGGACATGCCACGGAAGCATTGGGAGGAAACAGTGATTTGTTTAATTCGCTTGGTTAGAGCGACTTGCGAGGTTTGGAGATATGTCTCCGCTGGACTGGAGGATCAGTTCTGATTCTTACGTGTGTGTAAGATTGTGCAAGGTTCATTGGCCGATCAGGCTGGAATCAATACACCTATACAATAGACTTTTATAACAACGACTTTCCTCCCTTCTCACTTGCTGTCTACGTCCTACGCGAGGCTTCCTGTCCTACGCTCCGCGCTCTATATCGAGCACGCCGAAAGCCGCTAATCAGCTAGGCTGTGGCCAGTGTGCCTTGTCAGCGCCGTCAGCACTTCGTGCCAATCAAGTGACTGCTGTGTACACATAGGCTGACGTGGAACTAGACGGAGTACGGAGCACATTGGTGTTGTCTCTATTTGCTGCGTCTGCCACGTCAAAACGCTTATGAACTGCAGCATGGCTACTCACTAAGCGGTGTCCAGACACTCGCAAGCAGGGAAGGCACCTTTGTATATAACTCAACATGATTTGATATCACACTGTATGTATAATTGTACTCTCACAAGCAATGCAACCAAACATGATCACGTATTACGACCTCCCGTCACCCGGATCGTCTCCCCACTCACATACGAAAAGTAAGGACTGCAAACCCCCAGAATTGCCCTGGCCGCCTCCTCGGGACTCGCCGGCCGTCCCAGCGGAATATCCGGATACGCCTGCTTCTCGTCCCCCTTGCGCCCAGCCAGCTGCTTCCCGGGGATCCCCAGCGCAACCTTGGTCCCGTCCGGCGTGGTGATGAACGCGCCTTCCTCCTTCGCAGCCGTCAACCGCGTCTTGACGAACCCAAACGCAATCGTGTTGGCCCGCACCCCATACGCAGGGCCCCATTCCTTCGTGATTGTCTTCGTCAGTCCCACCAGCCCGGCTTTGGCGAGCGCGTAGTTGGCTTGCCCCCTGCCACAGTATCAGTATCATACTATCCTATGTCCCTAGGGTGTGAGGGGCGAAATGAAGACGTACGCATTCCCGTGAATCCCACTCGTAGAACTAATATTGATAATCACCCGGTCCTCCCCATCCTTCACCCGGAAATACGGCGCAGCGGCCCGAATCAGCTTGAACGGCGCCGTGTTGTGCACCGCCAGCATCGTGTCCCATTGTTTGTCGGTCATCTACTAACCATCAACTAACTAGCTCCAAAATGCGAAAAGCGCAAGAGGGGAGATGTATACAAACCTTATGGATGACCCCATCCCAGGTAAACCCCGCATTGTTCACGAGGATATGGATCTTCCCGTTCCCGAAATCCGCCGCCTTGGAGACGAGATCCTTGATATATGCGTCGTCGAGGATATCGCCCACGACCGCGAGGGCGCGTCCTGCGCCAGCGGCGTTGATGGCGCTGGCGACGGCGGTGGCTTTTCCTGTGTGGGGTGTCAGTTACTGTCTACAGTTTGCTAGGAGGTAGGGGTCAGGGACAGACCAGCGTCGATATCAGCGACGATGACTTTTGCGCCTTCGTTGGCGAAGAGCCGAGCTGCTTCGGCGCCGATGCCCTGGCCTGAGCCAGTGATGATGGCGACTTTGCCTGCGAGGAGGCCGGCTGGGTAGTTGAGGTGGGCGTTGACCTGGGCGAGGCGGGCGGCCATGTTGGTTTTAGATCCTACTGTGTATGAACTAAGTTGAATTGCAAGCAGGTGTTTCTTTTTTTTGAAATATAGACGAGGTGCTGGTAGCTTATATTATTGATTCGTGAGGGGAGAGTATAGCGGGTAAATTGCCGAGGCCCGTCAAAGCCGAGAGCCGTCCTTGCTTATGGGAACTACAGTACTACTACATCACGGCAACAGACTTCGTTCAAGGTAACTACGGATGAAATATTATTAAGTAGGGCATACATCATTCCCCGATAAACAACGCAAAAAAGCTTCCACGTTTGCTTCGTACCCCCGAAGAATCTGATCGAGACAGCTGCCTCCGCGGTTCTCATCGTACAGCCCTTGCCCGAGATGACCGGATGGCGATCCGAGGCAGACATCGATCGCTTCTTGCAGTGCAGCAAACACCTCCTTGCACTGGACGAGTCGCGCACGGAGCAGGAAGCGACTGACCCACCAACTTTCCTCCGAACACAATTCATAGTCTCCATATCTCGTCCTTGCACTGTCGGCTCCCACTGAATGCTGCGCCGCCAGCCCATACGATATCCAGTATTCGAATATCTGCAGTGTAAAGTCTACCGTAGAGATAGGCAACAGCAGGCTAGTGCTGTCTTTTGGGCAATTTCTGCATTGCAGATATCCTTGGCAGACGGACAGAGCCACCCTGATCCCCTGCAGCATCTGATCGACTCGCAGGTGGCCGGCGTTGGCCATCATATCCCTCAGCTGGTTCATATGAAACACCACTGTTCCTCCACATCCACATGTCGGTTGCGGTGCGTCGGGGATGTGGACGGCGAGGGGACAGCTCGTGAGGCCTTTGGTGATGAACTCCTTTTGAAGAAAGGTGGGTGACATGGAGGCTTGCATATATACGGGATCTGCAGACGGCAACGGTTCTTGAAAGGAAGAATATGCGAACACCGATGTGGAGGCGTCCGCCGTGAGGTCGGTGTCCTGGCTGTTAGGGCTCTCGTGAAACTGTGCATGTTTGTTAGCATTCTTCCAACCGATTCACCTGATCGGAACACACGTTTTCCTCATTGCTCTGAAGCACTCGAGACCTTTCACATATCGAGTGACTATGGTTGTCCATGACGGTGTCTGGGTTATGCTTTCCCTTCAAAGCACGTAATACAGGCTTCTCGTCCGGCAGTTGTCCCAGCTTCTTCAACGTGGCTCGGTTCTTGCTGCCCTTGGGTTTCCCTGACCGATTGGCGAGCCGATATCGACAAGGCAGCCCGTGACGAAGACACCGGATGCAGGTACTCTTTCCAGAAAGGTTGCATTTCACCTTTGATTGTCTGCAGTTCTCACAAGCGGCCCGGAGTCGGGGTGTGTCTCCACTGTGGCCGGAAGGTTGATCGGATCCTGCATACATCTGTGCAGATTGGACCCGAAGGCAAGCCTTTTGTTCCTTCGGAGGATACTTATTTGATCTACTCCTGCCGGCTTATGAAAAGAATATCTTATGTGAGGAGACCCACGCAGGATAAGCGATCCAGTGCTGGCCACCCTGACAAGCATCTGAAGCAACCACGCCGATATGATAGGAAGGCAGAATACCCTCAGACGGTGATTTCAACCAACCAACCCCTCTTATATAACTGGAATGCAGAACTTAAGAGTCAATGTCCGTATCAGGATTGCCTAACCGACGGCAACCGCATACGAAGTCAGCCGCTGTGAAACCCAAATGCTCCATCTGATCCCCCACGCATAAGAGCGACCAACAATCGCCACCAGTCCTTACTGTAGTCCCACGGGCCCAGACTAAGCTGATCCCAAAGGGGCAGTTGCCGGATGACTTGGCTGCCACCTGATTTGCTAAGGACGGGAGATTTTAAGCGGCGACCATTCTCACCTGGCAATGGCGGCCTGAAGAGGGCAGCCTCGATGCAACATTGTCAATAGACACAGCGGCGTGATGATGAGATGATGGTAATTAAACTCTACCCAGTGAAGACGCCATCTGCTGCGCTGAGCCATTGGTGTCGTCCGTCACAGTGTCCAATGACTTTGCTGCCTTTCAGAGCGAGATGATCATCGAGATGCATGACAGGCATGCCATGTGAGCTGGAGAATTCTATGTGCGACTCTCTATTCGTCTGTCCAGCTCGAGTGTCCGGGAAGCAAGCGGTGAGCATGTCAAATCAATTCTTGATGGAAGCCAGGTGATGCTTCCAGAAACACCTTGTATGCTTGCAGGCCATTTTTGAGTTTGCCAATTCACATCGTGGAAGAGCTCCCGCATGCCCGACTATCAGCAAGGGGGTGAGTTGGTTGGACAAATCTCGTGTCGTCCTCGAAAGTCACCATCAGCACGCGTCATCTTTCTCATCTACTGATACGGTAATGGTTACATATGAAACCAAAACATATTGTTCAAGAGTGATACATTGCGCGCGTGATTCTATCAGATTTGGCGGCGAATCAGAATGTCAGTTGGACTCTAACAGACAGCTTCCTGCAATCCCACTATGTCGGTAGTCGAATGCTTTGAGAAGGCCAGTCAAATGAGCCACAGCAGCGCAGACCACTAGTACGTGGAAGATCTGATGAGAGCTTCCCAATATATCGAACTTGCCCGGCCGCAGACGTTCAGGAACTCGAGCTGCATAGATTGTAGCCCCCAATATATAAAGGAACCCCTGCAGAAGAAGCCATCCAAGTCCAATCTGGCGCGTCATCTGGTCGTATCCGAACATCTGCGACCCGTGGAGCACAGGAAACACCGCTGACAGACCCATGGCGACAAACATTGATGCGCGGAAAGGCCGCCACTGAGGCGTCCGGAACTTAGGCAGAACTGAGACAATAACGCAGCCAAGACCAATAGTGCAGATCATCGTCCAGTACAGTTGTTGGAGGGCTGGAACGCAGTAGAAGCCATAGTAGACGCTTGGCACAAAACTCCCCACAATAAGGCCTACGATACCGACATAGTCGAAGGTATTTCCTATGCGAGCGACTAGCGGGGAATGATTGGAAATAGTATGATATGTTGCCGACATTCCCAAGCAAAAGGCAGCTCCTGCAAAGAAGCAACCAAAGGCAATGATGTCGTCCCTTGTGGCAGTCTCATAGCGAGGAACCAGCTCCTGGTACAGTAAGTACGCAGCGGGAATAGACAGCAGTGACGGCAGGAGATGAGTATAGATGTTGACTGTTTCGTTGTGGAGGTACGTGAGAGATTGGAAGGAGACAAGAAATGAGAACGAGGCTGGTCGGTATCCCGTGTGGATGTGGTGATTATCACGTTGCCAATGCGGCAGGTCGTCCCAATGAAGAAGTTTTTTCACGACCTCCGGCGGCTTCTCGAGAACTGCAGAAGCCATAGCAGCAGGCTGAGACGAATTCGATCCATTTTGATAGCTCTCGGCGGGACGACGTTGGCGGGCAGACATGTTTCTTCACATGCAGCAGAAGTATGCAAACAAGTGTAGAGCGGGTAGGAAGAAACTTGAGCAGATCAACGCAAGTTTGTCACCACAACTACGAATTGATGGACCACAAACGGTTGAGAGGATGCTAAGGACCGATGAGTATTAGATTCCGAGACAGAAGCAACTGTTGAAAGGTACATTAGATAAATAGACCGTTGGGAATCACTCCGAATGTCCTGTTGGGGAGAAAAGGAACCTCGGCGTCCCACTCAAAGCAAACAGGCAAAACCAAGCAAACAAACCAAACAAGCGGTGAGGGAGTGGAGTAATTCCTTCCACGAGTTGACGATCCATGATCACACCAGACAGACGACAGCGATAAAGCTGTTATCTTCCCTCATGACGCAATTCACCATCCCACTCTTCTTACGGCACATTGCCAGCCATGGCGGGCCCCGCAGCACGTTCGGCTCGATTCTCAGAAAGCCGCTTGAAGCCTCTGAGGGACAGGGATCCTCTTGAGGTGGTGGGATTTGTGTCCAAAGGTGATCGGCTGTATGTGCGCATCAAAGTTCAATGAGGAGATCGGATGAGACACACCGGGTGGGAAGTTGTTCATTGAGCTGATCCCTCGCAGGCTCCTAGATCACAAGGAACAACAGAAATATTTTGAGCGCATCAAGAATCGATGGATGGAGTTTTGTGCTCGACATGCCGGTAACCTGATTGAGGCTTTCGCATCGCTTCCTACCAGTGCTTCCGCAGACGCGACAAGAAACCCACCGGCGTCTCGCCTCCAGTTGCCTAGCCACAAGACCGGACAGACTGGTCCTTCGCCGGCTACGGAATTATCCACTCTTCTGCTATCTCTCCGCAAGCTCCGGGAAGCCGTGCTAGCCACCGCGTCCTCAGTTCCCGTGTCTTTCCAGCAGCAGGTCCATGTGTTCTCAGTCACAGTTTCCATTCGCGCTCAGCATCCGCCTTCATATTTCCCTTCTCTCCGTTATCTTCTTGAAACATTACATTCACCCTCTCACCCTTTACCCGACTCGGAGCTGAAAGACATCATATCATATTTGGTCCTCGACTATGCGTGCCGGCAACGGGATATGGTTTCTGCCTTCGAGCTGCGTGCACGGGCGCGTACTCAATACGCCTTTAAGTCGGACGTAGTTGACCGTGTTTTGGCGGCGCTGATGCATGACAATTGGATTGCCTTTTGGCAGGTCCGAAACGAGGTGGATTCACCTACGCGGGCTGTGATCAATTGGGCCGAGGACCGTGTCCGGAGGCATGCGCTGAAAGCCGTCGGCAGTGCTTATCTCAACGTCAACGTGAGCTGGATTGTCGAACGCTGTACAGGAGATGGAAGACAGTGGACTTGGGAGAAATTGGTGGAGAAAGAAGGCTTGGGTTGGCAGCTAGAAGGTGACAAGGTAGTCATTCGGAAACCTAAGCCCAAAGTGGCACCAATCAAGAACAGCGAGTGAGTAGACGTTGGCTCATTGATTCATTTATAACGATCGTTCCCACGCTCCGGTTGTCAAAGTGAGCATTTGAGGCATTGCACAGTCATGGCGTTTGTTTGGGTTGGCATGAGACAGCATGAGCGTCAGATGCCTCACTGGATTATTCATCATTAGCCGGCTAGACCTTAGATAGTGTTCGGAAGAAATAGAGTATTGCTATCCCTCGCAATCAGGACATCAATGTAGGTCGTTTTGGAATGCGTCAATCTCATAACTTGAAATCCGCACTTGGCCGATCAAGATTGAGATCGCCCGAGATGGGCTGCTTGGCAACAGACTCGGCAAGACTGGTCTTGAGTATACTAGCCTTGTCGGAGCAAAGCTCGTAGACCGTGGACAGATTGAACACCAAGCTGCCAAACGAATGGTTAGCAGCAACCAGCGACTCCAGAATTTGACGAGCCTGTGAGTAAGCGTCAGCTTTAACGTCCTCGGCGAGAAATATCGGACCGGAAATGTATCGACTTACTTCATTCAGCTGTCCTGTATATAATAAACAGACGGCCAAATTGTGCGAAATCAAGGCTTTATCAGTATTCTCTTCGCCATTCTCGAGAAGTGCCCTCCATTCGGCCACTGCATCGTTGTACTGGCCTTCCGCCATGCTGAGGAGCGGCTTAAGGATACGCTCATTGGGCATGCCTGCTTCCTCGTACACTTTCTTTGCGGCGTCAATGTCACCAATCATCAAGAAGAGAAGCACTTTTCTTGACCTGTTTGTCGCGGCTTCCGAGTCCGATATTTTCAGGGTGTCCAGTGATCTTCTTGCTGCATCAAGATCCCCCATCTCGATCAAGGCATTCACGCTTCTGATTCCGAGATCAGCCAATCTATCCCTCCAGATTTCTCGCTCCGATTGTGTTAAGTCCGTTCGCATGATTTCCCTTCGCGCCTCGAGGCCTAGTTCGTACAGGCCGCCAATGCCTCGGCGAGAATCACCAAACCCGATGCTCTGGAGTCTCACTGCTAGAACGCGCAGTGACCATGGTGCGATATGGCGGGCATGAACTGACGGTTTTTGAGGGGTTTCTTTCGCGGATGCGTCTTGGTTGACGTCAACATAATAAAAGGCCGAAGTCAAGTCTTCAAGGGCCTTTGATTCTTGCGCGGCTAGAATAGCATTTCCAGACAGTTCTAAACATGCTAGTCGTGTATAGAAAAGCCCAAAGATCAGCTTGGTATCAGTTGGCGAGAGAGTACGAGAGGTCAGGATGGTTCCGCATAGATAAGCGGCGAGTAAGAAGTGGCCCTCAGCCAACAATTTCTCAACTTTACCCAAGGATGAGCTCAATAGTTCATCAGGAGCTGGCGTGACAAACTCCGAGCGCAGTGGATGTGGAATATCAATTTGTGACAGGGAATGATAGACGTCGTAGCGAAGGAGATACGACAGGTCTTTCTCCATGTCCGGTGGTAGCTCACTTGGCGCCAGCGGGTCTAATGCGGTAAGAGTGTGACCCGAGTAAATCCCAGTCTGAGCTTCATCTTGTACAAGAGTAGCAGACGATACATTGATATCAGCTGAGCCGAGGGGCTATTTCCTTGTCAGCATATCCTGGTGGCTTCGGGAGATCAGAATCCGCCTCACTCATTGAATTCTTCTAAAGGCCCTCTTGTCGAGCTACGAGGTCTTGAAGCTGAGGGAAACAAAACATCAGCTTAAGCAGTAGATATCGAGCTTTCTATTTGGTCCTTACATCTGGAGACAGCCCGGCTATGCTTGGAGTCAACAGACTCCATTGCTGTAGATAAAGAAAGCTTAGAAGCAACTCAGCCGTGAGCCTACACAGAGTCCTGATGTCCAATACACGTTCTCTATGGAGCTCTTCTGCGAAGGTTGAGATATCTCAGGTTGTTTGGATGGAGTTATGCACGCCGAATGCCTCTCTACCTAGCTACCCAGTTTTGCCGCGGGCGGTGAACGGGATCGACCCGGTCTGGCAACCTGGCCCATACCCGCACCTGTCAATCGCATCTGCTCAGCCACAGTTTATCGTTGAGCATCAACAATCGAACGTTCTCACCGTGTTCATCCCACACACGAACTCCATCTTCGGTTCATCTCAGTGAGACGATCATTCTGTATACAGGCATACCTCGTTTCTCTTCAAATATAAACCTATAATCATCCACCATGACATTGGCAGAGGAATTCCGCTCGAGAAACTTCAGTATGTGTCTTCGTTGTTTACCTTTGAGAGGCAAGAAAGAGCCAGATTGCTAATCATTTAACCCGTATATAGGTATCTACGGACAATGGTTTGCTACCCATCCTATACTTCCTACTCCCTTTTCTTTACGTCCTTCTCAATGTTGAGCGCGGCCCCAAACAACATGTCGGCGAGAAATGGCGGTTGCCTGAATCTACCACCAGGCCGCCTCACACTGGCTGGCTTGAGATTGCCACAACTCTTTCAAAGGGTTTACAGCATGGAATTGCGATCTCTAGCGACGATAGTTTATCGCGAGTTGTCACCGTTCTGCTCTGCAAGCCTGCTGACTCGATCTTGGATAGGACGGGTGTGCTGTGCATCATCCTCTGCGTTGCTCTCGGAATCGCAAACATCTTCTCTTTCGCTGTTTTGCGCATCATCTTCAGCGTACTATGCCTGTATGCCAGTTCTACTAGCAACGCTCTGGACAGTGGAGCTGACGATCATAGTGTCTCGGGATTGATCCTCATCTTCATTGAAGTTCCTTTCTTGCTGAGAATCTGCCCTACCTCCTCCAAGTTCGATGCGTTCATTCGGCGCTTCACCACCAACTGGATGCGCGCTGCGATGTACGCCATCATGAGTGTCGTTCAATGGCTTAGTCTTCTCCCCGGCTCCGGTGCATCCAGTTTGATCGTCGCAGCAGTCTTCTTACTGATCGCCTCCATATTCTATGCTTTGGCCGGCCTAAAAAGTCAGGAATTCGTGGGCAGCAAGACTCTTGGTGGGCAGGGACTTGTCCAGATGATCGTTTGACGGAGATATTCAACCAAGTCGTTTCTCGGATTATTGGGTACCCGGCACACCCTGAAACGCATTGGATGCATATCGGAGCAGAAGGAGAGTTGAAGAAAAGAAAAAAAGGGATCACAACCATCATTTCCGCAGTGTATGCGCCATGATTATGACTGCCTAAAAAAGGCCTGTACTTTTATCTCATCTGGATTGGCGGATGCCGAATTCGTCTAAGGTTGGGAACGTTGAAGGAGCGAATGCCCATTTCATACTGGTTTATTCTGCATTGATTGAATTTGCATTTGTCTTTACTCTTGCGCGGATTTCATCCTCGGCTGTGGCTCGAAGGTCTGCGAGTTATATTGCGAGTGCAAGTATACCACTTAATACCCTGTTAGCATCCTGGTGATGAATGAATTACTTTAGAGAGGAGAAGATATTCAAACCTGTTTGGTTCCTGAAATGGTTTCTGAAAGAAATAGTATTAACTTACAATGCAAGAGTCAATATCCCCATGACAGACTTGCTGCTGACCATATTTATGCCCATGTGAAAGCACACAGCAGGCTTACATTTCTCTGATACTGAGAGATGTCAGTTTACCAACAATCTTGAAGGTCAAGAAGCTTTCTCTAATTGCTCCTTTCCTTAGGGCAGAAACATAACAAAGTATCTCTTATTAAACCGGGAATGTGATTGTTGTTCAATTGGATCTCTATTACAGGCTTCGTACTCAGGTTGTCTCCTGTGCCTGGACACCGGTATGGACCTAGGTAAGCGGCTTGGTAAATCTGCCATACACCACACAAGCACACATCACCTTCCCTTCGAATACTGTTATCTACTGCTCCGTACCTAGGTAGGACATTATACCCAGGCAGGTAGTTATTGATGCCGATGGACTGTACTAGAAAAACCGCTTTACGTCATATACCCCTCCACCAGGGGAGAAGTCTTTACCCCGCGTTTTGAGGACCACTAATTGGAGGTTACCAAGCAGGAAATGAAGACATTATGGTGATTCCGGTCGTAGGACTCTAGTTCTTGACCCGTGTACAGAATACCGTATGCTCGACGACGTCGAAAATGAAACTCGGGGGTGTATAAAGGTTAATGTATTCCTATTGGAGGTCTTCACAAAGCACGGACAGGTTAGAAGCTCTACGCTCGAATCTACTCTGCAAGGTGCCAATGTCCGTGTTGATGCATTTGCCAACTGGCCAGCCCATTTCTCGTGGTCTAATCAGAGAGAGTATGATGCCTGCATGCTTGTTAACCAGTCTGCGTTAGACTCGAGTCTCTACAGTAGCTAGCTGTGATCATAGGGCGCGGGGAATCAGGATTTGCCCCAACAGAAGATTTGACAATTCTTTCGAAAGAAGTGCACATGAGGGCCCGGGATACTAAATTTCGATCAGTCCCGGGAAAAAAGGATACAATCGTCTACAGACATCCATGAACAAGAAGATTGCGATGATGTGATCTGAGGATCTCCATCTGGTCTCTCTGCTACCCCTGGTAGTCAGCCACTCCACCCCAGTATCTGTGTAGACTGATCACCTTTAAAAGAGGTCCACACTGTGTGGCGGTTATCGTCGCTCTCAGTTAGTCTGTTTGTTATGCCAATGCTGAGATTGGTCGGGAGTGGATCTGTTGCGGCCTCAGGCCCACAAAGCTGAGAGGTCTATGATTTAAACTCGACAGAAATAGGAACAAACATGACGATAAGTCGGGCTGGAAGTTACCATTGAGCACAGACAACATGGACTGTATCAGTCGGCTAATACAGAATCCTAAGAATTGTCCATTCATTGACTCAAAACTGACAGGTGGTATCATGAATGGCCATAAGAGCAAAGATGCTGATGCATGATGCCATCCTACTATGGAGTACTTAAAACCTGAGATGCTCACCGCCTCGGCAGCAACGGCCATACAGACTTTGAAGAGAGAGCATGCTTTCATACCATTAGGGCCAGCGAGGCACACCGTATATGTCAATGAGATCGGCTCTGTTGCCAGAGCAGAAGATATTGACGTTTTCAGACTAATGCAGTCATTGCCTAGGGCTCATTATTGTCTAGAACTAGATTACGCACAGCCACAAGAGAAGGATTCAATTGTTCCATTCAATGAGGTGTGAACGTCAGGTGCTAAGGTAGGAAGGTACCCCACTAGATACCTCGTAACTTCGTAAGGATACCTGTACTGACGACCGTGGTTTTTCGACCATGGTCTGGTCCCGCCCACAGCTGCTTTATCTGGGGTCAGGAGACAAGAGGGATTTTCTCTTAAAATAGTAGTAAAGAGAAAGGGGCGACATAGAGATCACCATTAACCGTCCAACGTGTCTCTCAATCTATGGTTGTTTACCCATAAATAGGTACGCTAGATCATGGCATTTGGTCCTCAGGTAGAGTCCATGAGAATGCTCAATTATGTGGTCTGAAGATGCAAAAATTGTATCGGATGGAATCTATCCATGAAGATATCGAGCAAAGTTAAAATGCCTCAGATTAACAAGATATGATGATACCACTTGTTATGCAGCTACTGCATAGGTATATCCCTCACCCCAGAGTCTTGAAATATGATTGGTACAAAGTTACTCTAGTGACCTGAGGCATTCACTCCCGCTGTATCAACCCAACTTAGCTTACTAGTACCCTGTACCTGGCAAATTCAGGTACTCCCTTTTTGACAACATAGCTTCCACGTGTTCTTTGTCCTATATAGCTAAATATCTGTAGATGATTAGAAGAGATCGTAGTCCAATTCTCGGGTGGCAGATGGAAAACTTTGCAAGGTGCCCAACAATGTCCATCCGTTATTGAGAATCGTTCTTATCAAAAATGGCCAAAAAAAAGGAAGATCAAGAGTGGGGAGGTCCACTAATCCTGAAATGGAAAGAAGATGAACCTGAGGTACCCGCCCACATTTACAACGAACGAATTTGAGTAGTTTACATTTTACCGGACGGTTTTGTAACGGTATTGTACCACAGGGGCCAGACACAGCGGGGCCCGGCGTTTTGATGCCGTCAGAGAGCGTCACGCGACGGGGCGGTGGGCCGTGGCAGGAAGAAAGCGGTTAGACTGGTTTTACGGTCACTCTGCCATGCAAAAAGTCATACATCATCTGCCTGCTGCTAATCTGCCTCTAGTACTCCTGCTGCTGCTGCTGCTACTACTACTTTTCACTCCACCATCATCACCACATCTCCTCCTATACAAATTCTCTGCATTCAGTCCTCTTACACTCCTACCTACCCGTCAAATAATTTCTGAAGCCGTCTGCTCATCAATTGTTCTGTCTCCTTCCATTCGCTCATCTTCCAAAAGCTTGAGCCCGTTTAGCAATCAGTTCTTGGAATTGGTCCACAATCGGTAAGCAAATCAAGCTGCGTCATGTTATCAGCTCTCCCTATATTCCCGGCTATGGCTACCTGTTTTGCTCTGATTCTTCGGGAAATGTTGGAATCTCATGTGAGCTTGCATATGGCAAAACCAAGAGCCTTATCAGCTCAGTGTCCTGCTGGATAAGACTCCTACTACTGGAACTCCCCCCTTTCAATGGCATTTACCCGTTGAACTTCCCAGGGACCTGTCTCAATGGCCGTAAAGCAATCAAGCACATTGGGGACAGAGAATTCAATGACCACCCACTCAATCCCCATCTTCTAGCCCGAGGTGCGGGGAAGTTTCTTTAGCTACGCACAGCTGCCCGCTGTCATCTGTTCTACTGAAGCCCAGCCTTTCAAATTCTCAACCACAGCACTTGATCAAACCTTAGCTAACATCATCTCTGAAGCTCTATTTTCTAGCATTAATTTGAGATTCTTCATATCCCTACGAGAATCATGGCGACACAAGCTGGCCCCGTCATTCCTCCTCGACCCTCGAGGTCTCCTCAGTCGAATCTTGCCCCCAAGTCGATATCAGACATGCCAAAGATCCCTCCTCGTCCCAGTAGACGCGTTGAACGCTCCGTGTCTCCTCTTCGGGACAGCTATGCTCCTTCTCCATTGAACGAACCTCCGAACTCTGCGGGATTGACTCGTACGGTGTCCAACGATCTCCCACAGCGACCCCCAAGTGTGACGATACCGTCACTTGGAGAAGAGGGTATCGAATACCAGAACCTAGATATTGGCAATTTGTCAGATAGCCATCACCAAATTGGTACTCCGGCGGAGACCAGGAATGTGGGCAGTGATCTCAAGATCCATGCGCCCCGCCCGTCATTGCCCAGTTCGAGCGCTAAGGCGAAGGTGCAGGCTGTCACTCGTACAGACTCGCGTCAGGCCGCTGCTGCCGGTCTCGGCGTGTCCGCATCGCCGGTGCCTGATGACCATCATGAGCGCTCTAGTCGCTCGCTTCAGTCCAGAGCAAGCGGCTCGCGCGCAGACTCTTCCACCGCATCCTCTGATCGTCGACGCTCTCTCCAACTCCCCGCTGATGAGCACGGAATTCCTGAAATTGGTCAGAGAGTTCCCATGTATCCCAATGCGGGTGATGTGCAGGCACCGTCTCCAAGCCCTTATCAGTTGGAGCACGGAGGTCAACGCCAGGGACGCCACCATCACCGAACTCGCAGCGGCCGTGAGGCCTCCTTACCCCCTGGGAGCTATGGACTCCACGGACATGGTGTGCCTGCCACTGACAAGTTTGAGAAGGCTTGGTATGATAAGCATCCCGAAGAGTACGTCAAGGTCGAACACGGACAATATGGCCCTGGCGTCGGGACTCCCCGCCCTGATTGGGCGCTGAGCAGCGATGATCTCAACAAGATCGTCCGTAGCTCCGCTGTGACCGGCTCTGGTCTCGGTACCTCTCCTAATGTTGCGGGTACTCCAGATGAGGAGGTCGGTTACATTGCCACGGATGAATACACCCACCGTATGGCAACCCCGGCTCCCGAATCGCGCCGCAGCTCGCGCCTGATCGGGGAGTCCCCCTGCGCAGCACGGACGTCCCCGCTTCAGAGGTTGGCGTTGAGCGAGAGGGGCGCAAATCTGAAGACGCTGGTGTTATTCATGTCGATGACCCGTACCACCCCCTGCATCATCCGGATGGTTTCGCACCAACCCCAGCCCCTGAAGAACAATCCCATGAAATGGGCGTGGGTCTTGACGATGAAGATGAGCCTATTCTGGCTGCCGATGAAGTCCGCCCTGAATCAGCCTATCAACATCCTGCCGTCTCTCCCACCTTCGATAGACGGCCTAGCGAGTATGATGGCAGGAGTCTCACTCCTAGCGTTAACCACAGTCGCTCAAATAGTCGCTCTGCCACCCACCAGGGTGGCATGCCCGCTCTCGTGAGATACAACTCGCGCGACGAACGTGAGGAGACACACACGCCTCTGGATGACGTTGAGGAGTACGAACCGCTATTTCCCGAGGATGATAAGGACAAGAAGCCCATTTCCGCTGCGGTCCGCTTCAAGCAGCGCCCTGAAATGCTCAAGCACCGCTTTCCCAGCGAAGATATCTGGGAAGATTCTCCCAACAGCTTGCAGCTCCACGCCACCGTTTCCACACCGGACATTCACAAGCACGAGGCGTTTGAGACGCCGGAACAGGAGTCGTTCCGCCGCAGTCACGCTCCTCACCTTGATCCTCGCCAGGTCGCAGAACACATCCTTGAGTCCGAAGAACCAAAAGAAAAGACTCAACCGCGCCCTGAGATTTGTAAGCAGCGGTTCCCCAGTCGAGACATCTGGGAAGATGCACCTGAGAGCCTGACACTCGTGACAACAATCGAGCCCTCGGAGGAGAGTGAGGTGAAGAGTCCCGATGTACCATCGAAACCCGCTATCCCATCTCGCCCTCAGAAGCTTTCACAACAGGCTCCTGCGGTAGATGCCTCCTCGAAACCAGCAACCTCTCCAACAGAAAAACGACAGCCGCCCAGCATTCCTGGTAGACCCAAGCCACAGATTCCTGCTCGACCAGCGAAGCCCATTACCCGTGGAGCCGGAGAGGAAGCTCCAGCCAAAGAAAAGCCCGCCGTGCCCGTTCGGCCCAATGGAAGCAAGATTGCTGCACTTAAAGCAGGGTTCTTGTCAGATCTAAATTCGCGTCTGCAGCTGGGTCCCCAAGCGCCAAAGCCCCAAGAGAAGAAAGAGGAGGAAACTCCGGCAGAAAAGGCACCACTGAGTGACGCTCGCAAGGGTAGAGCTCGTGGTCCATCCCGACGAAAGCCAGCTTCCGAGAACGCTAGCACAAGGCTACCGACGATTCCCGAAATTAAGATCACCGAGACTTGGAATGTTTGGCAAGTCGGTGAGGATGGCAACCTGACGGTCGAAACCGGAGTGAAGGCCAAGCAGCCTGAGCCGGCTGCACCTGAAGTCTCGACTTCGAAGAACACCATGGCCCCAGCCTTGTCAAAGAACATTGCCGGCGAATCCACCGATCCTTCTCCGATGACGGCGACTAAGGAATCTGCACCCGAGACAGCTGAGACGATACCAAGCACCGATGGGGAGGCTGCGGCTGTGTCTGCTACGGAACCCACGAAGCCGGACGAGAGTGAGGTACAACAAACGTCTTCAGATGCGCAGTCGGGAATCACCCCTACTACATCGCCCCCGGTAGACGACGCCATTGAAGCCATGGCTGCTACTGCTGACGGGAAAAGAGCGTCGGAAGGCGCTGTGCTCCACGAGGAGCAGTGAAAAATACTTGCGTTCTTTTTTGGTCATTTGAGTCTTCTTCTTTATGACCTTTGATATCATCGTTCTCTAGTAAGTTTGAGACAGCAGCAAAATGAGTTTTCGTCTAGCATCCATGTAGACTGCCTCCGGCCTAGAGTGCTCATGATGTTGTTGGTCATTGACCAGGACCCGATCACGGGTGGATGATACCTTCATTTTACAATTAGGAGTAGTGCTAGTACTACATGGCATGTAACAACAATAAACGCCGTTGCAGGTAGCTGGAGACTTGAATCTGTATTATTCTGGCCTAGCTGTGGAGACATAATGACAGAACAGTGTGATTTAGACGAATTTGCCCTTGAAACTCGTCAATGCTGCAGCGCTGCAAATTTCCCAGATCCTCATCCTGAACGGCTTCGACTCGAAAGGTCGAGACTACTACATTTTCAATTTAGAAGTTAGGCGGGTTCACATGCATGGAAGCAAACAGCAAAAGCACCCGGTGGCCGCAAATCTTGCCCAATGGCCGGTTTAGCAATCTGAAACAGCGCTCGCTAAAAAACATTTCCAGATGATGCGAATTTTTTTTTTCTGGTTCGGTATGACCTGAAATCTCTTTGAAAATGTAAGTTAAGAAAATGAGCTGAACAAGCTGTTTCTTTATGTTCAGTGCGGGGGGTATCATGAGATGTTGATAGATGACAACATGCGAAAGCTAAGGATTGGACAAGTGTTTACGCTTTTCACTAGGTAGCGACGCATGGAGGGTTGAATTCTGAGAGAACTCGGGAAAGAGAAGAAGCGAGTAGCTGTTCAGCTAGCAGGCAAGTTCTTCATGTCGCCCTTTCCGTCCTTGATCCACTCGGGGTCGATCAGGCGCTCGCGTTCAGCGTAGAGTTGCTTGTACGCGCCGCGAATGGTACCGTCGCTGACGTGTGCGACCTGGGAGATCTCCTTGGCGGATTTGCCGTGGCCCATGAGATAAGAGGCCATGTAGATGCAAGCCGCGACGATCGACAGGGGCGAGCGTCCAGCGAGGTCTCCCATAGTCGTCACACGATCGGACAGAGCAGAGGACACACTCGTAACTTGGTACGGTAGATCCAAAAGGTTGCAGAAACGGTTGCAGAGGTCGCTCGGCTTGGTGGAAGTTGTCGCGGTGTAGGTGTCGTTGGGGTCTGGAACACCACCACTGGACACAACGGCATTGATCCGTTCCAGGTTCTGAGCCGTGAAAAACTTTTCCAGAGCCTTGTAGATTCGACCAATCTCCTTTCGAGTGACTTTGGTGACCGCAAAGATTTCGGTGAAGGTCCGAGGGACTTTGCACTGGCGGCAAGCAATAAAGATGCAGCCGGCGATGATGACTTCCTGTGACTTTCCCTTGAACGCCTTGGCATCGTCCACGATCTTGAAGAGATATTTGGCCGTATCCGCGACGTTCTTCTGGATGTTGAAACCATCGCACAGCGCACCAATTTCCTTGTAAGCTGCCAACAGAGCCTTATTCGCCTTCTCGCTCGACTGCTTGTTCTGTGCCCGGTACAGTTCTCGCGCGCGACCAGAGCCTCCGCTGGCGATCTGAGTCTCAAGCTGGTCGCCGTTCAACAGAGGATTCGTGGCGTCTCCGACACGCGACGGGTCGTCGTTATTCTGGTCATCGTTGGAGAACGTACGCCATTCAGAGTGCATGTCGATCTCTCGGTCAGCAAGTACCAGACCACAAGAGCCGCAGACTGTCTCATGTGAGTCAGGAAACTCGAGGTTGGGCGGGACCTCCCTGCACTCGGGACAGATGACATGGGCCGAGAGGTTCTTCCTCCACTGACCCATATCAGGGCGGGCAGAGGTAGAAACGCTAGCCATTTTCACGTTGTCCCGATTGACTGCAATCTGTTGGATCGAGTCAAGAGGGGTGAGCCGAGAGGTGAGAGAGGTGAAGAGGCAAAGGTGAAGTCAAAAGTGTTGCCGCTGCCGTCTTGGAGTAGTAAGAGCCGCATGATTGATGAGTCAGCCGCCAAGCCGAAGTGTCCCGAAGAATCCATCGAACGTTCAATGTCGGCTTCACGGACCAAAGCCATATTATTCTTCGCAAGAAACCCCATCCCCAGGTTCTCCCCTCATTCATCACCCCCGCCGCCATGATGTCTCAGACTCTCAGAGCTTCGGTAAGTCCGTCCCATCTGTAGGACAATGGTTTCGAGGAAATATGGTTGCTAATTGCTGTCTCATTAGCGCTCCCTGCTCGCCCGCGTCTCTCGGCAACAGGTTTCTTCTGTTACCCGCCGCTCCTTCCTGACCTCCGCTGTCCGTCAGGGTATGTCCCGATTGATTGTCCCCTTGGCCCTATTCGATCCGAACAAATGAGGGAAATGCTGGCGTATGATGGACTTTGTGGACTGTGTCTAACATTGGATACTCGTTCTAGCCGACCCCGTTCAGGAGCTCTACCTGCGCCAACTCCAGGCCTACAAGCCCACCCCCATCAAGCCCGGCGATGCTGAGGCCCACGTCCAGAAGTTCTCCGCTCCTGCTGCGCCCCAGTCCCCGAGGAGGCCAACCTTGCCAATGATTTGAAGGCCTACGAGAGCCAGGATGTTGAGGTCGAGGGCCAGGCCGCCGCCGGTGAAACCGCTCCCGTTGAAGAGAGCTGGTTCGAGGAGGAGCCTGAGGAGGAGACCGCTCACCACTAGGTTTATTGCTTTCTGGCAAAGTCTGAGAAATCAGGACTGATGGGCAATGGGATGGGAACAAGAGAAAACCTTCCATTGATGAGTCCTGAAGGAATCGTGTAAATTAAACCTACTTCGGAGCATATGAACCTGTTTCTTCCTTTCTTCTACTGATGCAAGCGAATATGCGCATGGATCTTCCACTGGGGCAATTAAGTGATAAGTGTGGTTGTAGTGTGCTCGGAGAAGGCATGCTTCAGGCGAACAGTCTATTTCGACTGACCTGACCGGCTCTCATCTTGTTGTTTCAGGCTCAAGTTATAACTCATATATGCGCTTGAGATTCCTCGACCCCATCTTGCTCACCGCCGTATTATTGATCGTCTGCGGGCGCGGTATTCATGGGCCAAAAGTTGCCAAAACTCTTCCAGAGACCGAATGACTGCTTATAATCTTGTCCTGAGTTCTGTTTCCGCACCTGTACTGATTCTAATTGCTGAATGAACAGATGGAAGCAAAGAAGCAAGCCATCTACCCTTAGCTACAGAAGAAGTTCGTATCCAGATTCCATTCCAAGGATGTGCCGATCTATCGAAAAAGACATGCAGGGAGATTGGCAATACAGACAGCATAACGTGTCCGTTGCCGTCATTGAGATGCAAGAGTATGCACTCTGATTACCTCTTTTGGCTCTTGCATCGCACGCAGGGGGGTCAAAAGGCGTGCGCCGATAATCTCGAGTATTGAAGTCCAGGCGCATGGCGACATATGACAGCTCCGAAAGTCTAAAGAATCAGGCTTCTGGAATATCAGACCGCCAGATCTTGTCCTTCGGAGAAGAATCTTGAGTTCGCTCGGTTTCGCTGGCTTTCCTCGGTGCTGTCTGGAACGAAGGTCAGTCTTCCAGTCTTTCTAGATCTGTGCTAAGCGAGAGGTTATCGATGCTGCGTGGCGTCACGATGGATCCTGCAGTGTCAATAGATGGACAATCGTAGAAGCTACCTATAGAGTTTAGGGTGTCGCATTACGTGCAGCGATCGATTTCAATTCCTCCTGGGTGATGGTACACAGACAGAGAGAAGGAAAGAAGGGGTTACTGAATGCTACAACATATGAAGATCGGATAAGGAGGACACACTCTGATTGGAATGTCCATGGGACACCTGTCACTGTGTGTACAGTGGACAACATTCTTGAGAATCAGATTGAGAAGATCTGCTTCGGACAATAGACAAGATAGTCATTCATCATGAACTTTGATGTTGAGCATTGACGATGAGGTACAAAAGTTAAACGGGTAATTTAACAGGGGACGGATGAGCCTAGCCATTCATACATGGTGGTTCTGGCTCTATTTTTCTACCTGTTATCCTCACATGTCTGCGTTTAATGCTTGGAGGAGCCCAGGCTCAAGGTAGTTAAGGTAGTTGTACATATGATTATTGTACCATGCCTGGTCGGTTGAGTCTCCAATCCAACCACCGCTGCGAGGATGTCATAGGCGGAATGCAATAGTATTGATCGTCAATAACTGGGGACAGACTATTGGATTAAAGATCCATCTCAGCCTTGCATCTGGAGGAAAACGGACCCTTTTTTGGGTGAACAAGTCATCGAGGGAATAATACAAGACATGTCTTAGCATTTGGAAAAGTGGCTCAGCTCGACAAAATATCCATAGGCAGAAATATACCACTGTGTATCTACCCAAATTATCTAGGAGGATCTTACCATATGTCAATAAATTACCACAGCTTAGGTACCAAGGTACCTACTTTAAGTACTGCAAAGAATGTAGGTATTATGGATACATGACGCTATCGCAAAATGATCAATAAGTAATAATAATAGAATAGGCATTAATACTAACTTGTCTATGGTCTAGCGGACTATGTGCATACAACAATGCATAGCAGCATAGGTACCCCGTACATAGGTAGTAGGTAGCAGTAGCACAATAGGTACCTATCATACACCATACACCCCTTCGACAAGAAAACAACAACAATCGCTGTGCATCTAAGTACTATTGTTCATTTCTCTTCAACTTCGAAATCGTCATCATAAGCTCCTCCTTGGATTCTGAAACCTACAAGGCACTCAAGGGCCCCGTTTGATTAAATACAAACCAAGTCCCACCTCTCTGGTACGCGGGTACACCGAAATACGAGCCCTTTCCCCATCATCATCATCACCAATAGGTATCTCTTGACTAGAGCCTCTTCAGCCCTTTTCCCCCTCTTTCATTAAGCGTCAGACTATCTATCTATCTTTTCTTGAAGAAGAAAAAATAGATCAGAATCTGACAGCAAGAGGGAGCCTTATCAATCCTAGTTTCCCCAGTCCTTCGTTTATCTCCAACCTCCGAATCTCCGTTTGTTGATCGATTAACCGCGCAGCCTCCTTCGTTGAGCCTGCAAATACCACTCGCTCAGTTTTCCCTTTCACTTTGATACTATCGCTGCACACCGCATAAAGCTGACCGGGAAAAGAAAAAGGAGGCTCATATCAGCATCATAGTCGAATCGAGGTATCCTGGCCTGACGTGTTCATCTGGCTAGTCTTCAGCCGCCGAGTTGTCCGTTGGTCTGCCTGCCTACCACCTTCCTACTCAGCCATTGCTGCGTCGCCTTCCCGGCCCTCCCACGTCCCTTGAGAACCATAAAGCCGGCCCCAATGCGTTAGAGCCGACCTCTTTGCACATGGTTTGAGCTCATACAACGAGTCTCTACCCTTCTTCTCTTGTGCTCTCCCTGCCCTATCTCTTTTTTCTCTTACATGGAGGAGCTGGTCTCATCCGACCTCGAGATAAGCTGTCATTCAACTTTCCGGACCGAGAGCAATGTTCACAGTCCTCGGACGATACCTCCTCGTGGACCTATAGTACAGGATTGAATATACGCTCGATCATGTCTTCTCTCGCTGTCGATATTCCGACCAATCCGATCGATGAAGAAAGCGCTTTCCTTTCTCGTCCCGCCAGTTACAACAACCTTTCAGACATTCCCGTTACTGAACCTGGGTCCCCCGGCTTGCGGAGAACCTTTTCCGACCTGACATTCCCAAACAATGATTCAGCCTCGCCGTCGAAGGAGGATGTGGCTGCGGGGAAGGACATTCTGCGACGGACCTCTTTACGCCGCAACAAGGAAAAGTCGGCCGTAGCTGTCTCTCGATTCACCCTGTCCGCCGAGGATCTGAACGATACCACTGCTTCCGAACCCTCCGGAGTGTCCGCGAAACCTCCTGTCAAGTATCCAGAGACAAAAGCCCCAGAGCCCGTCGCTCGTCCCTCCAAGGCCCGTTCCATGTCTGGCAGACTGGTTAACCTAGCTCGAAAACCCTGGGGCTCGTCGGGCTCCCAGTCTCGATCCCCTTCGCCGTCTCCTAAACCCTCCAAGAACCGAAATTCTCGCTCGGATGATCAGATACCGTCGAAATCGCAGGGTCTACCATCCAAATCCAACCCTCGACTGGAGTCAGTGAAGGAAACCGACCCTGTCCTGCCTTCTCGCAAACGCACCATTCTGAGCAAACGCCCCAGGCGTCCAATGGTTGCAGTCGTAACTCAAAGCCAAGATGACAGTCCGAGCACTAGTTCATCCCCTCATTCGTTACGGGCGAAGAATTCCTTGGAAAGACTTGCCGCATCTCTCCATGTGTCTACCCCGATTCTCCCTCCCATGCCCAAAGGAGCGGCTGTTACCGCTGGAAACTTCTCTGGGAATGTCGACCTTCCGCGAAAGAAGGATGAGCTATGGGGCGTGTTCCGTGGACTCGAAGCTGATTACCAGAAGTGAGTACACTCATACCCGGCGCCGATAAGAACCACTCCCTTTGGAGCTTCAGTTGACTAATTAAGCGACACAGATTCCATTCCAAGTCGAGTGCTCTAAAAGCAAACGTCATTCGTTCTTCACTGCTGCCCTTCTTGAATCGCAACCAATCAAGTGCCTCCTACAAGTATCTGAGAGCTGAAGACCTCGACCGCCGCGTCAATATTCTCAACAAGTGGTGGACTGGGTTACTGGAGATGCTCAATGGCAAGAACAATCAATCCATTTCGGGTACTGACCGTCCAGTCTACCTCGAGGCGGTTGTCGGCATCATGATGCGGCCAGAATGGAGGATTCCCTTCCCAATGCCCCCGAACAGGGATGAGCCGCCCAGTTCACTCCATCATGCTTCGACTTCGATATCGGAGAGCTCTGACTCCTCAGGCTCGGATTTCCTGATCGAGTCAATCCATCACAACATCAGGAATATCTTCGTACAGAATTTGCTGTCTCAGATGGCCTTCGTGGTGGAGAGAATGTCAATGAGGCATGCACCTGCAAGCTTGGTGGCATTTTGCGGAAAGGCCTGCGCATACGCCTTCTTCTTCTGTCCTGGCGTCGCAGATATTCTAGTGCGCTTATGGAACACCCCTGCGAATATCTTCCGACGGATCCTTGCCGATTCTGGCGTAGAACGATGCAGGAACATTCGTGCTTTCACCCAGGATCTCGGGTTAAACTTCCCCAGCGCGCTCCGGACGCTATGCTTTCATTCCCACACGCCTCTCGTTCGATATCTTCGGCAAAAACCCGAAGTGCCTTTGAGTACAGCTCAGATACAATGGCAAAGCCCTTGGGTCTCGAGATGGTGTGGTCGAGACACAGATCTTTTCTTTGTCTTTGTCAAGTATATTCACATCCTCTATGCAGATGCTCTGCCGACAGATATAGAGAAACCAAAACGTATCCTGGCCCCGGGTCTGTTGCCAATTCACGCTCAGGTGCTTGTAGTTATGGAGGACACTCTCTACAAACAATCAAGTCCACAGATGCCTGAGAGTACACACACCGCCGCAGCCATCACTTTCGATGACTTCATTGAGGGCGCCGATGCAACAGTTTCTGCTCTTCCTTTAGGCTCTGCTAACAGCCACCGCTCGATGGCTGAGAATCGCCTGATCATCCTTCTGCGTGATTTCTTGTCTGAATCTTCCCTCGAGCCTCAACGCGCGCGGTTACTATACG